CCCTACGACTAAAAAACAGCACCCAACAGTAAACCAGACAAACACAACACCAGGGGTCGAAAAAATGCGTTCCGCAAGCTAATCTGTTGCGGCCCTTGAACGACCCGACATTTAATAACTAAAACCAAAATTAATCCCAAATTTATTATTGTCTCTACACGGATTTATGTGGTGACAAGTGCTGCTGTACGGAGCTATTTATGTAACAAGTAGCGTCAGTTGTATGTCGTTCGAGTCAATTATTATTTTTAAAATTTGAAAATGTCTGGAAAACGGAGCGACGCGAGTCGAGCATTCCAAAGTGCTTGAACGGAAAAATATTTTTCTTTCTTGCGCATTCCAAAACCGGTTTGCTCGATATGCCCAGTCAGCATCGCAGTTGTTGAGGGTTTCAATGTTAAACTCGTTACGAAACGAGTCGTCGAAAATTCGACCCCGAGACCTGGGACTGCGCCACAGCTGATCTGTGCGACAGTGCAAAACGTGTACTAAAATGCATAACACTCGGATTAAATTTCGTACTCGCTTGTCAGATCATCATTTGGACGACGAGTTGCCATAAAAACATGATCTTTCACATTGATAATAAGTACATAAAAACAATGTATTGTTGCATGATAAAAAAAACGCCAGATACATATACATCTCATTGGGACAGGCTTTCAACACAGCAATAGAAGGGTAGCGATGCGAATGCGCCATATTTTGAAGTTTATTCATGGTAGCGATTGTTCGAAGGCGGAAATATTGCGGCCCGCGCGCTACCGGAAATGTTTTTATTTTGCCCGCATGAAGTTTGCCGACCACTGCTTAACACTATTGAGCAACATGTCTGATTTCATAAACAATTGTCATGTCGGTATGTCGCAATAATGCTGGGTCAATTGTTTTCTCTACGCCCGTATAAGAATGTCTCTCATCAGTCCGACTAAGATTTCCCCAACAAAACGATACAGGCTTTGTTAACTTTCCCGGGATCTTAATGTGAGGCCTGGTTTTCAATATTGATAACTACAAAAACGAAATATCGAAATAGGCTGAAAGTAAGAAACACGTTACGTGTGTCAATGTCGACCATATCTCAAATATGGGAACAGTTATTGGCCATCAAACAAATACAGATATCGCATTAAATAGCATCACCGTCGTTTTTAGTATATTGTCAGCATAAATTTTCTAATGCGTGTAATTTATTGCATAGGCTTAGTTCGTATGTAAAAGGTGGTCCGCCAGAAGTTTGGTCAAGCTTTACCGGTCCGTCACTTGAAAAAGGTTGCCTACCACTGCTTTACGCAACAACGTTAAACATACACGATGAAATACCTCCATACAGGTAAACTTTATAAAGTTATTTTTGAGCGCATTGGAATTAGACGCAACAACATGTTTACCATACACGATAAAATACCTCTATGTAAACACCACGGTAAGAAACATCAAAAATCCACTAATTCCTATTATCTCTGTGCAAATATATCAAAATATAAACATACGATTATTAACCCTAAAAAAAACAAATCCAACAATATAACTCGTACCCATTAAGATGAAATTAAAACGGCAAAATACCTTCATTCCGATTATAAAGACGCACTATTCCGCAACAATAATAAACATACTATCAAACATTCTGTAAATACCGAATAAACAACTTCTTAAAAATCAGTAATCTTTCTCTCCGAAAATACATGCGAAAGCTCAAATATACGACCATGTGCACTGGAAGAACATCACAAGAAATTTCATACCCCAATATCAAACAGTAATGTATTGGTTCTATATAGACACCAAAAAGCTGAAATGATGATTCTCATACAGATAAACAACAGTCATAATTGACTATCAAAAAATTAGAGTAATCTAATACACCGATTCCTAATGTCTAATGGCTAAAAATCAGTGATTTCCAGCGATCATGTGGTAGGAACGATTAAATAATTTTATTCTCTCATTGCCGACCATTGAATATCCTTTACATTTGGCAAGTTATGACCGTAAAAATTTTTTTATGATCAGTTAATAAAATACTATCATAAAATGCAGAAGTCCCACTCACGATTTTTTTATTTCTTTTTTAAAAGTATATATCTATTTTACAAGGCAAAAATGTAAAATCGTACCTCGAACTCAAATGATAACATGTCCATTGATTTGATTGTCGAGTTATGTCCTTCAAAACCCAAATGCGCAGCGCAAATACTTGCAATTTTTCTTCCATGGCGAGTAAGCAATTCGTTTGCTCATAACAGACATCAAAAAAATTACGGTTAATTTGACGACAAATTACTTCTGATAAAAAACAATCTAAATCGTTTCGCTTGCACTAATCCTTATTAGACAAACAATCAAAAATCTTTCGTACGCCAAATGATTACAAGCTCTATCAGCTATCCAATTAATTACCGGTGACGCCAAAGTACAAACAATCGCAAATCTTCTCTTTAGCGCAGCGTTTCCCAACCTTTTTTGGTCGCGGACTACTTTCTCACTGGCGAAAACCTTTGCGGACTCAACGTGAGTTTATTGCAACCGTACTCTGTGTGAAGAAGTAATAAAACTAAACACAACAGAATTTTACCGAATTTCAAAATCGGAAATGCTACGCAATCACGCCTTTGTTAAAAGGGCCGACTTCTTTAGTGTATAAATGGCCTTTTCTGTCGCACAATATTCAATCCTTGACAACGACAAGAATTTAAAATGTGTTCTTATTTTAATTTAATTGTGTTCATGGTCACTCGCAGAGTCGCGGTTGCGTTGACTTATGACAAGATCAAAGCAAGCATTACTTCTTTTAAATGCCACGGCAATCTGCGAACATAATAATGTGAGAATATATTGCCCGGTTATATATAGTTTTGATATAAATTATTTGCGATCTTGCGAATTTGTTATCGCCGTTGTACAACTTGATTTAGTTCTTATTAAAAATATAATTAGTATATTAGTAAATAAAATTAAAAAATATTCATCGCCTTGCTTAAAAATTAATTTAATTGTGATCATTTTAATCTGCGGTTGTCTTGATTTGGTACTTAAAAATACAATTAGTATATTAGTAAATCAAAAAAAAATAATCATTGCCTTGCTTTAATATTAATTTAATTGTGATCATCTCAATCTGCGGTTGTGTTGACGAAATAAAAGCAATACTATTCAGAAAATATCATGGCAATCCGTGGACCCAAAAATGCGTGGTAAAGTGTCCGATTATATATTTTGTTTTGATTCATATTTTTGTGAATTCGACAAATATGAGCTGTTCGTACAACAGTAAAGCCAGGAGTCGGCAACATTTTGTCGCTCGCAGGCCAAAATTAAAGGTTGCAAGTCATTGGTGGGCCGCGCATATTTTTAGAAAGTTGAAAGCCGGGCGTATGGCCAATGAATCACATTTTTTCACACAGATCAGAAGTTAAATTTCTGCTATAAATTTCTAGAAAGTACAACTTGATTTGGTACTTATTAAAAATACAATTAGTATATTAGTAAATCAAAAAAAAAATAATCATTGCCTTGCTTTAATATTAATTTAATTGTGATCATCTCAATCTGCGGTTGTGTTGACGAAATAAAAGCAATACTATTCAGAAAATATCATGGCAATCCGTGGACCCAAAAATGCGTGGTAAAGTGTCCGATTATATTTTGTTTTGATTCGTATTTTCGTGGATTCGACAAATATGAGCTGTTCGTACAACAGTAAAGCCAGAAGTCGGCAACATTTTGTCGCTCGCAGGCCAACTATAAAGATTGCAAGTCATTGGTTGGCCGCGCATATTTTCGGAAAGTTAAAAGCCGGACGTATGGCCAATGAATCACGTTTTTTCACACAGATCAGAAGTTAAATTTTAAGCAGCGCCCGAAGACTGACAATTTAAATATTGAACCAATTGCACTTAGCGTTCAACTTTTCTGCGTTTTGTTGCCATTGAATGCTTAATTATAATTAATTTACAGGCTCATTCAACGAGTAATTGTAAATTATATACTTGTTCGGTTATGATATAATTTAGTCTAAACGTGCCGCAAAATAAATTCTGTCACGTGAAAAATATAATCGTAAAAACAGCTGTTTTGTTACTATAATACTACGAATACTACGGTAGCACCCGAAATTTTGCATTTGCAACATGTCTAAAAAAGCGTTTTTGAAAAACTTATGGTGTTTTCAGTTTTATTTTCAGTATTTTGCATTGCCGCTTTCCAATTTAGAAAATTTAGGTTGCCATTGACACCTACCAGAAAAATTATTCCTCGAGCAACAACGACTAAATCCAATCGTTTGATTAAGCGACGCGCACAAGTGCAAGTGACCTGTCGCGTCACCTGTTACCAAATTTTCGAATAATAAATTGCTATTCTAACAATTGAATATTCGAATATATGCAGAGCCCTACTCATTCAGTATCCAGAAATTATTGGCTCGATTAATGTCATATGAATAAACTTGCTTTTCATGTAAATTCTAACGTAAATCGCGGCTGATGGTTAAGTTTCGCAAAAACGTTTGCGCCCGCAGTGAATTTCTGGCTAGTTGCGGACTCATTCAAACGCTCCGCGGACTCATTCGAGACCGCGGACTCGAGTTGGGAAACGCTGCTTTAGCGGTTTCAAAGATTAAAAGGATAAGCAAACGAATTTTTTCTCTCGCGGTCATTTCAAACCGCGTCACCCTGAAAGCTAGGACCCAAAGGACTGGACTCACCCACCCACCGAGGGACCAACCTGACCCACCGCAATCGGGAATACATGATTTACTACTTGTATTGGTGCCCATTAGTAAACAAAATTCAAATGCCATTTTTCGGCGAAACCATTATTTTTTTTTTTCAAATGACGTTTTGCTATCTATCAGAATCATAAACCTACTATCACAGATAATGCGCTAATGATCACTTGTGACTCTATTAGCTATAATATCCGCGATGCACACATCTATTGGACGAACATAGTTGAGTAAAGTATTATTTTTTATTTCAACCATTTATTAGAATTAAATTTGATAAAATTCAAGCAATTAAGAATAATCCAGTCCAGGCGTGTCCTGTCCTCAATTACATGTTGCTGGTGATCCAGGATCTGTAGTATGCTACATCAGTGTAGACACCTGGTTGATTGACCTGAGCGCATCCATAGCCCCATGAAGTGATTCCGGCAATAGTTGTGGAACCTTGAATGTAGGCAGGTCCACCAGAGTCACCCTGCACAAAATAGAATAAGTAGATGGAGAGTTCATATTAGTTTTATGCCCTCGGGTGCGTATTCAATAAAGACTATGACATTTCAATATTTTCTAATTATAATTTAATATTGAAATATATTTAGTTTTGCCAAATATAAAATAAGTAACTAAGTGCATGGAATTGTTTCGCTCCTAGTGGTGCTCAAATCGAACATCAGCTTTTAAGAATAGACTTTCCGAATTTCATAATTAACAAAACATACCTGGCAAGAGTCTTCTCCACCAGCCATATTTCCCATGCAGATCATTCCAGCTAAAATGTCACCGTTGTATGAAAGTCTGGCATTGCAGTCATTTGTAGAAATGACCTCCACATTCACAGATTGCAAGTTGTTTGGAAGATTTTGAACTTGAAAGTAATATATATTGAAATTATTTTTAGAATTATTTTGATGAATAGAATTATTTGATATTTTGGAAAATTTAAGGTCCGAGCTTTAAAGTGAAAGCGTGAAGTGCATTGTAATTGAACAAAATATTCAACCTGAAATATTAATTTTAAAGTATTTGTATGTATTGGATGTTACCCAATGCTGTATCACTGATGTTTGTACACTAAAATCAAAACTGTGAAGTCTTATGTTTTGAAAGTGTTGGAGTTGGAAGTTGAGTCGTATTCTCTTTGGGATCCTTTTAGCCCATGGTTATCTGGAGTAGGAATCGGAAATTTCAGAAGTCAAAATTTGGAGATTGAATTCTCGACAGAATTAGAATAATGTTTGTAACATTAAAATTTTGTCGGCCGATTTCATGGGTTAAAGCCAGAATCGGATTTTGAATGGCTTAGTGAAGTCATATGGGATTTTTCGAATCCACAGCCCTGTGCATGATTTGACTCGTGAATATATGATATAATGAAAATGAAGCTTTTTAGTAAAGCTATAGACTTTGCTGCGATAAAACGGCAACACGACGCATTAAAATGATGAATCAACGTTTTCATTTGTGTTTATAACCAATGCTAGTCGATGTCTGAAAATTGAAAACTCACTGATGCCAGAGTTGGTGTCTCCCCATCCAGCGACAGTTATGCCAGTGCCAGCGGAAGGTGCAGATAATTGTAAAGGTGCTGAGGCAATAGTCGAACTAAAGCTGAATGATGACTAAAACAAAAAATCAATTTAATATCGCGTTTATGTGAATATATTCTAATGATATTTTTGTTGCATCAGCGGACTTGGTACATTATTAGTGCATCTTTATGGCGTAACATGTAGTAGGCAAAAACTCACTGCAAGCTGCAAAATCATGATGTCATTTTGGATTGTGTTGGAGTTGTATTGAGGATGAACCACTTTTCCGCTAACGGAGATGGTAACTCCACCACTACTACGAGTTACAGTCCCAGCAGTTACAGTTAATCCAATGAGATTCCTATGAAAAGTAAATATCATTAATTTGTCATCGCTGCCAATACCAATGTTCGGATACATAACTCTATGAATGACACGATGATGTTTCGATTTCTAATTTGTCATTTTTATATGAAATGTATTTATGTGAGAGACATTACATTTAGCTTTATTTTTATACGAAATGATGTATATTTAAATTCTTACTGTTCGCAGTGAGCAGCAGAGAGGACTCGGTTAGCTGAAATGATTGTTCCGCCACAGAAGAATGAGCCACTTTTTTCCTGGAAGACTATGGACGGGAACTGGCCATTAGAGGCAGCAGTACCACCAATAATCTTGTCGGCATTAACACCTGAACAAACGTAAATTACTAAAAATTGGCTTTGACAGAAAATATTAACTAATATACATTTCATTTAGAACTATGCGAATAGAAACTTTTCAGATTTGCCGTATATATTACGCAAGAAATTACTTACCACAAAGACAGAGAACTGCGATGAGTAAAAGTTTCATTCTTATTGATTCGTTCGACGATTCCAATAAACTGATGATTTAGATTACGAAGAGCTCCTCTTTATACTTTTGGGAATGCTACTAAAGACACGCCTGCAAAGTAAACATTGATGTATTTTTGTCTCTATGATGACTATTTACAGTGAGTTATCTTTCCATTACCGTGTTCGTGACGTAAGTGAACTAAAATCTGTCGAATTCTCATGACTTTCAATTTTACAAACGATGTATGGGTTGCTACTTCGCTTAGGTGTAGGACGGCATCTAATCACGTGTGGACAGTATACTGTATTACCTCCTCTAAGTTGAAGATATGTTCGACAGAATATGCAAGGTTCAGTGTTGATTCTGAAATTTGATCGTACGGTTAATGTGATCAAATCAAATGCACCACGGAGTCACGTATTTTGAAAACAAAATACTGTCGTTGAGTTAGATAGACCAATGTTTCCCAACCCGAGTCCGCGGTCTCAAATGAGTCCGCGGAGCGTTTGAATGAGTCCGCAACGAGCCAGAAATTCACTGCGGGCCGCAAACGTTTTTGCGGAACTTAACTATCAGCCAATTTACGATTCACGTTGGAATTTACATAAAACATAAAAAGCAAGTTTATTCACATAACATTAATCGAGTCAACAATTACTGGTTACTGAGTAGGGCTGGGCATATATTCGAATATTCAACTATTAGAATAACAATTTAATATTCGAAAATTTGGTAACAGGTGACGCGACAGGTCACTTGCACTTGTGCGCGTCGCTTAATCAAACGATTGGATTTTACAACTCACTCACGGATTTCCGGCACACGCGTCGATAGATGGTGGCACCCGAATTTTCTAAATTCAAAAGCGGCAATACAAAACACTAAAAATAAAACGGAGAACACCATAAGTTTTGTTTTATGATGGTCCACGACCGATTAAAAACGCTTTTTTAAACATTGCAAAACGCAAAATTTCGGGTGCTACCGTAGTATACGTACCAGGATATACTTCCTTAGAATTGTTTGCTTTACTGCCTCAACATTGATACGCCGTACAGTACTGGTAAGTGTTGTACGAACAACTCAGATTTGTCAAATTCACAAAAATAGGAATCAAAACAAAATATATTCTGGCCCTTTACCACGCATTTTTGTGTCTACGGATTGTCATGATATTTCTGAGTAGTATTGCTTTTATTTCGCCAACACAAGCGCAGATTAAAATGATCACAATTAAATTAATAATAAAGCAAGGTGATGAATATTCATTTTTCATTTGATATACTTTAAATATATTTTTGATAGTACTAAATCAAGTTGTACTTTCTGGAAATTTATAGCATATAGTGAGATTTTTCTAACCACGATAACAATTTCGCAAGATTGCAAAAATATGTAACAAAACTATATATATTCTCATATTATTAAGTTTGCAGATTGCCGATTGACATTTTGAAGAAGAAATGCTTTCATTTTGTCGTACGTAAGTCGACGCAACCGCGAGTTACCAAGAACACAATTAAATTAATATAGAAAGACATTGACTTGAATATTGTGCGACAGAAAAGCCAATTAAACACTAAAAAGTCGGTTCTTTTAACAAACACGTAATTGCGGCGAATTCCCGATTTTGAAATTTGTCACAATTCTGTTGTATTTGGTTTTATTGCTCCTTCACACAGAGTACGGTTGCAATAAACGCAACTTGAGTCCGCAAAGGTTTTCGCGGGTGAGAAAATAGTCTGCTACCAAAAAAAGTTGGGAAACGCTGAGTTAGACAATGGTCAGTTTTGTGTTTTTAGTGTTGTTTGATAATTCATCAACCCGATTCTGCCTCTTCTACTCATTCCATTTTGTACTGTCATTTTTCAAAAATATTATAATCGTGAACCATAATAAGCCTCTGAAACTAAATCCTTGGCATTTTAAAAGCGTACGCTAGAGTTTTTATTCAGCGTCGAACCCCCCCTTTTGGAATGTGTTAAAAACGACGACTAATAGGCGCGACTTGCCACGCGCCGAATAAGCGCATAAAACTTTATGGCTCCGGATGCCGTCAAGTAGAAGCGATGTGATTGTGACTGAATAAGGTGATTTATGGACCTTTCCCCGACCATTGACCCCCGTAAATTTCCTCCTATACTTCACCATCGCAAAATTTTCGGTGCGTATTTAAAGAGTGGTTTTGCGAGTTGGCGCCTGTAAAATGGGATTTTTTTCTTCAAACCATTATTCTGATTCATAGCATTCAACAATCTGTTTTGTAAAAGTACCGGTGAAGAATTTTAGCCTAGTCTATTGCAGCTATTTCTACACTAATTTTTTATTACTGCAATTAAACTGAAACTTCTAAGAAGACAAAGTGATCATTGAAGTATTTGATTTACATTTAAATATCCGAAACAAAACTAAAAATTAACGAATAGATTTCAAAAACGCGAAAACGAGGTAATGTTTACGACGACGCCTGAAAATCAGTCTGAGCGAGAAAAGTGTCTGAGCGGATGCGAACCACGTCACTCTTTGCATCTTGCTGATTGGCCAATGTCCCGAAGTAAACAAGGATGTCGATGCTCGGGGAAACATCCATTCAGTTTCGATTTCTAGAAACATTCTGTATCACACATAGCAATTTTTATAACATCAGTTCTCTTAGAAACTCGCGTTTTGCGGCCTCCTGCCGGACCACCTGTTGCTGTCAAACTTGGCAATTACAAATTTCGGCGCTCCGAAAGTATTCGCACCAAGATGACGCACAACCTGAATCCTGACCTGGCACCCATACTATTTTCAGGTTGTGCGACATTTCGTACACACCTAAATTTCAGAACCCCCCCTTTGAAAATTCCTGGCTACGCCCCTGCTAAAAATACATGCTAAGCAAGTATAGATTCATTTGAAGAGAGATATCGACTGTAAATTATTATTCGGGTAAATTCTTATTTGGTTAACTGTAAGTGATTCATACCCGGTTTTAAAACTATGACTCACAACCTTCAGGTATGGTGCTATTCATTCATACCATGGATGGCCAACCTGCTCTTGACCGCGATCTTCAAATAGCGATGGACGGATGACTTAGAATATAAATGTTGAAATTATTTTTTGCTTGGAGGGATCGTGTTCGCGATGTTGGCCTCATTAACTGTAAGTCATGCCCGTCCCATCCCCGCGAGTAGAAACGGGAACAGGATTCTGAACTGTTTTTCGCTATTTATCAGTCAAACTAACTTAACTGATTTGGCTATTTTTGCAGTCAAATTTTGGTACTCCAGAAGTATGTGCACCAAGATGGCGGACACCGGCATTATATTGGTACGAAATCCTGCGCACGCAACTCAATGTATCAGTTTAATAGGATAAGTAAACATTTATTTATTTCACCGCGCATAGTAGCCAAACCCTATGAGTTTTCTAATTGAACAACACGATTACTAGCGCCGGTGCACAATACATCTGAATCAATTAATACATCTGGATCACAAACATCAATTTTTTCATTGTCTGGAATATTTCTTTTTCAATTTGAAATAATGTGCACTATGAATAATGCTCACAGATTATTGTTTTAACCCGTCTATCATGCACTCCCATGATAACACTGGTCAACAACAAATTTGCGGTCTGCGTTTTTTCAGTTGATTTAGGGTGAATATGGCGTGCTGAACGCAGTAATCACCTTAGTTTTCAGCAATCGGGTTAAGTTTTTGAGATATGGCCACATGTCGTTTTTTACGATTTTGTTCACATTTACGCATGTTAGAGCATTTTAGAAGAAATTGGTAGGGGTAAAATGCTCTGTGGAATACCTTTTTATTTTTGCTTATGGACCGGGTTAACTTTTAAAAGTGTTTGATCTTTAGTCATTGATTTATTTTTGTTTATTTTTACAATTCGTTTCGTGCAGAATCTTGCAATCTTGTTTGTTTTTTAATCATGGCAACGTGTTCATTGATAATTTTGCCTTCTTTGTTTATTCTATCTTCTGTGTAAGTTAATTGATGAATATCTTTACCTGTTATTTTTTTTGCGAGTGAATGAGATGGCTTGGTTTAGTTTAGAAGACGCCCATTAGCGACGAAGATACCTTCAGTTTCAAAGGATATGAAGAAGGGGAAATGAATTTCGAAGATGATGCTCCACATCAATTTTCCCAAAAGGAGTTGAATTATCTAGTTCGCGACCTCAGATTGCCAAAAGACTCTGCCAAACTGTTGGCTTCCAGATTGAAGGAAAAACATCTCCTTTCTGACAGTACTTACATCAGCTTCTTCTGCAACAGGCATAAAGAATACCTTCATTCTTTCTCGGAAGAAAAGGATTTGGTTTACTGTGCCGATCCGACATTGTGCAGCTTTTGTTCAAGCTTAGAGTGCCACATCACGGTAGAAGGAACTGGTGCACTGCAAAGAAAGGAGCGTCTTCAATAACCCTCTGGTTGAATACCCTTCCATCCATTGCTCATTAAGCTCGGCTTGATAAAGCAGTTTACTAAGGCTCTCGACACGACACGTTATGGTGACTGCTTCACTTACATGTGCCAGGCTTTAAACCTTAAATTAGCGTATGTAACTTATGTGTAATATAAATATGGCTCTAATATGATTGGTCAGTAAGAGTTAATATTCTTTATGTATACGTCTGATCGTGGACGTATGTCAAAACAAAAGCAATTAGACATTTTTGCGTCATTTTCAAGCATGATATATGCTTGTCCGAGCGTTTGTGATCCCGGTTGCGCGTCACTTTTCATCAGCATATTTTAAATTCCACGAGTTTTATATCTGTAAGTATTTGAAAGCTAAGAAATATACAATGAATCTGTTATTACTTAAGGAAAGTAATTTGAGAGAGTTCACAATCGTTTTCGGCGCGTAAACAAGCTTGTGATCATTACCCGCACAGAAATAAACAAACAAAGATTGCGCTCGCTCAAAACAGCCCGCCAAAAAAATTAACCCTTTTTATCTTGAGTATTTTGCGTTGCGTTTCGCTCCAGACGGCCACTCTTATATCGTTTGAAAGATGACGTAATTTACTTTTTCTGAAGTATTAGATGTCGAGTCCATCTGGCTTGAATTTATCTCTCCGATTTGAAATACAAAACTCTTTTCAAATTTTTTTTACATTTTCCATTACTTTTCTTTCTCAATGTCCATCATTCAGTTTTTATTAATCGATGTTTCCATCTCGTAATCAATATATAATGTTGAATAAAGAATTTTTTTCTTATTTTAGCATGTGTGCTGACAAAATGACGTCATAATGACACAAAAATGTAATTAAATTTGTGAATTGGGCTGTTTTTTTGAACCGCGCAAACTTGACCTGATGGAGAGAAACGGATGTTATTTTCGAATTCAGCAGTGCCAAAATACCCCATATCAGTTGCAAAAATCTAAACAACATTCGAAAAGTAAAAAATTGTGGACCAGTGTAACAATTACATAGTAACGGTATCGGCAATATCTGCTTTTTGAAATATTGGCGTATCGATATCGGCGTTTTTCGTTGGTATCGGATTGGTATCGGCGGAAAAAAGTGGCATCAGTACTCTAATGTGTATATCGTATTTTGCGCATGTATGGTAATGTATTCTTTTTGTTTTAGGACACATAACAGGCGCTACCTAAAACTGGTTCATAACAATTTTCGGTATGTTATTAAATTCATTCAACATCAGACGGGATCAACTACTCAAGACTTGGCGATCGAACGGTCGATCGCAATCGACGTGTTTGCACCCCCCCCATTGATTTATGCAATTGGCATATCGTCACGCTAATAACCGAATTGCGTAAGTCATTTTTGGCGATTTTGAGTTTTTTATAAAATAGGTATTTTATTTTTTCAGATTTTATTTTAAGAATTCCGAAACCCATAAAAATGGAGATTTAGTATGACATGCACATTTGTGCAATTGTTTCGTCATAATGAATTATCATTGTTACCGCAGGACTATTGTTACGCCACAAAGGCAAAATAACCTCGGCGAAGTATTTTCAAGTTTTTGCATCTCGGATTCTAGCTTAGCGCGTATTAATTGAACACGTTTAGTGGACATAACGATCGTTTTAATATTATTGGACACGTAGTGTACATAGCGATCGTTTCAATATTATGTTGTTGTTGTTCTTATTGTTGTTCTTAGTGTCCTTGTTCTTTGACACGTTTTGAAGAAATTGCTTTTCTCTTCGAATACTGGACCAATTGATTTGAAATTTTCAGTTGTTGAAGATAAAATTTTTCTTCAGAAGGCTATTACTTTTTTTTTCGCTATGACGTCATCAAAATTATTCCCACTGGGTGGCGCTACGTGTCCATATATTTGAGCATAGCTCTCTTGTGTTGTTATTGTTATTATTTGTCCTCCATTTCAAAAAATCGCTTTTCTCTTCGAATACTGGACCAATTGCTTTGAAGTTTTCAGTGAGTAAAGATTGATGTTTTTGCCAGAAAGCTATTACTTTTATTTATTTCTAAATTTCGCATGAAATCTGATATTTCGTCTAAAATTTCGCTGTATTATTTTATCAATGGGAACACTGACTGTCCGGTTTGATTCTTTAAATTATTTCTACGCGAAACTCGGAATTTTTTGTGGGTACCGGTGGCGTCAAAGGTAAATACTGCTTCGCTGTGGTTAACGTGTCCATATATTTGAGCACAGCTCTCTTGTTTGAATTTATACTACAATATAGGAAGACGCGCACTTGTGATATTCACTGTCCGAGTCCAATTCACCTTGGTTGGCTTTTATATTGGGTGCATTGTTGTTTTATTCTTTATATTTATTAATCTTAGTCTTATTTCGGTGGGTGTGCAGAACGTGTTATATTGATGAAATATTTATTTTAAAATATAAATAATAATGTAATTGAAACTGATTAGCTATTTTGGGGATTATACATTGTAGATACTGAGAATTACATTCGATTTTGGAATGTTTAGTTTTCAGGATTAGTGCATATAGTAAAGTGGCAAAATTGCGTATGTCCCCAAGTCATAGACACATTTCTGCCTAAGTCACAGTGCGCCATTATGACGTCACTTAACTGCGTCATACAAATTAACTTAAATCCGGCTACGATCAAAAAATTGAACCATGGCAAATTATTGACTCTCAATGGCATAACAATATCATTAGGGAAGTTTTTTACTTTTTCTCAAAACTGCTAATATGACTTACTCAATTCGGTTATTAGCGTGACGATATTCAAACGACCTTAAATTGCTCGTGTCACTCTGTATAACCTCTCCAAGGGTCATTTTAACTCTGCGTTGACATTGCTAAGAGTATATAAGATTCATTAAACTAGACACTAATAAGGCCAATCGTTGGCGCATCGTGAGATACAGATTTGAAAGCTAAAAGCTTCGCTTTGCGATTTTCATAAATCAATCTTTGATTCGTCGCGCTAGGTTTTGTCACCGGTAGACTTCACAATGACAAATCTTATTTGTATGAAATATGGACCATATAATCCGGGATATATTTATCTATTATCTGGGCTCATTAATATCTGAAGCGAAGGTTAATGACATTCGGGGGGCATGCTATTTCGATATGCCATTTGCTCGAGGGCTCTAGAAGTCACGTCTGTAATAAACCTCTGTCGTAAAACATCAAAAAATTGGAATTATTTTTATTTTCATTTTGAAACCAATTTTTACAAAAAGACAATATTGCCGGAAATACTCATCAGATACCAACCGGATTCGTTTTGGTGTTGATTTCATGACTAACAATAGCAATCTCACACCCTCTATAGTTAGTGAACATAGAGTTGGGTAAATTATAATTTTATTTCATTTATTTATTTGAATTAAATTTGAAAATTCATGCAATTAAAAAGAATACAATCCAGACGTTTCCCGTCCACATTTACATGTAGCTGGTGATCCAAGATCTGTAGTATGCTACATCAGTGTAGACACCTGGTTTATTGGCCTGAGCGCATCCATAGCCCCATGAAGTGATTCCGGCAATGGTTGTTGAACCTTGAATGTAGGCAGGTCCACCAGAGTCACCCTGCACAAAATAGAATATTTAGATAAGCATCAGCTTTAGGGAAAGACTTGCCGAATTTCCTAATTAACAAAATATACCTGGCAAGAGTCTTCTCCACCATCCATATTTCCCATGCAGATCATTCCAGCTAAAATTTCACCGTTGTATGCAAGTCTGGCATTGCATTCACTTGTAGAAATGACCGCCACATTTACAGATTGCAAGTTGTTTGGAAGACTTTGAACTGAAAAGTAATATTAAAATATTTTCAAGATTGTTTCGATGAATAAAAATAATTAATGTTTTTGAAAATTTAAGGTCCGAGCTTTGAAGTGAAATCGTTTCCAATGCTGTATCATTGGTATGTGTACACTAAAATCAAAACTGTGGAATCATTTGTTGTGAATGTGTTGGAGATCGAAGCTGCGTCGTATTCTCTTCGGAATCTTTTTAGCCCCTGGTAATCTGAAGTGGGGATCGGAAATTTCGAAAGTCAAAAGTTCGTTATTGAATTCTCGACAGAGACAGAATAATGCTTGTAACATTAAGTTTTTCTTCCTGCCGATTTCAAAAGTTAAAGCCAGAATCTGATTTTGAATGGCTTAAAAGTAAAGCCATATGAGATATTTTTCGAATCCACAGCCCTGTGCATGATTTGACTCGTGAATATCTGATATAAAGAAAATGGAGCTTTTTAGAAAAGCTATAGACTTTAGTAAAGCGATAAAACGGCGACACGACGCATCAAAATGATGAATCAACGTTTTCAGTTGTGTTCAAAACCAAGGCTAGTCAATGTTTGAATATTGAAAACTCACTGATGCCAGAGTTGGTGTCTCCCCATCCAGCGACAGTTATGCCAGTGCCAGCGGAAGGTGCAGAGAATTGTAAAGGTGCTGAGGCAATAGTCGAACTAAAGCTGAATGATGACTAAAACAAAGAAATCAGTTTAATATCGCGTTAATGTGAATATATTCTAATTATATTTTTGTTGCATCAGCGGACTTGGTGCGTGGTTATTCCTTTTTATGATGTAAATATGTAGTAGGCAAAAACTCACTGCAAGCTGCAAAATCATGATGTCATTTGCAAGTGTGTTGGAGTTGTATTGAGGATGAACCACCTTTCCGCTAACGGAGATGGTAACTCCACCACTGTTACGAGTAACAGTTCCAGCAGTTACAGTTAATCCAATGAGATTTCTATAAAAGTAAATAACATTAATGTGTCACTGCTGCCAATACCAATATTCGGGTACATAACTCTACGAATAACACGGTGATATTTCGACTTCTAATTTATCATAAGTACATGAAATGTATTAATGTGTGAGATAATAAATTTTGCTTTATTTTTATACGAAATGGTGTATATTTTAATTCTTACTGTTCGCAGTGAGCAGCAGAGAGGACTCGGTTAGCTGAAATGATTGTTCCGCCACAGAAGAATGAGCCACTTTTTTCCTGGAAGACGATTGACGGGAACTGGCCATTAGAGGCAGCAGTACCACCAATAATCTTGTCGGCGTTGGCGCCTGAAAGAATTACAAAATATTGAAATTGTTTTGTCTATTTGAACGGAAAATATAGCGGATACTCCAACTGAAACAAGCCTAGTCAAAAAAATTCAAATTTTACATAAAATAAATTACCTACCACAAAGGCAGAGAATGGCGACGATTAAAAGTTTCATTCTTATTTGTTCGTTCGACGATTCCAAAGAACTGATAGTTTAGATCAGAAAGTATGCCCATTTTTATACTATTTGAAAGGCCACTGAACATATCATTTTAATGTAAATACAAATATATTTACGACATCATAAGTGTCAATTTACAAAAAATTACCTAATTATAATTTTTATCAACACATGATGAATTCTCATGGTGGTTTGGTGTACATTTGACGTAGTTAGTTTTCTTGTAGCATACGTTTAGAAGAGACTTCAAGTCTATAACATATTGTTACTTTCGTATACATCTATATCGTATAGATATCTTCAGTATCTACAAAGGGTTACCCTGGTACGCATTCTTGCTTCAATAGGGTTATTTTCAATAATAAGTTTTCTTATTATATAATTGGAACAGAAAAAGTATTTTCAGTTATCATTCGCCGTTATTCCTATATCCCAGAAGTTAGAACATGATCAGGTCGATAGTGACATCAAAACCAATGGCGCTGTTCAACTTACACAATATTTGCACAATATTTGTATCATAATCCTCCAAAACTGATTAACATATAATTTTAACATATATGATTTTTATATAAATATATGTTCTGGTGGGGTATTCCGATGTACTGATTGCCGACAACAATGTTTATTTGTCATTTGATGGAAAGGATCCCTTGGTGGCAAAAATTTGGATAACTTTTCGACAATATGTAATGTTGTGCGCAAAAGTGAGTTATGAGAATCTCCAAATGGTTCAGAAATATCCCAATCAATTGACTTAGATTTCCCACCGAGATCTACAGCTCTGTTTCTCTAGATTAGGGGCCGGCAAACTACGGCCCGCGGGCCAGATCCGGCCTGCGAAACAATACAATCCGGCCCGCGACGCTTTACTGAATTATATTAACAAAACAACTGTATTAACGATTATATTTTTTACGTAACAAAGTTTGTTTTGAGACACTAAATTATATTATAATCTAACAAGTATATAATTAACAATCACTCATTTAATGAGCCTATAATTATAATTAGACAAATGGCAACAGAACGTAAAAGAGTTAATGCTGAGTGCAAATGGTTTAATGGCGCAGAAAATTTTTAAATGATCAGTCTAAGCGCGTTGCCTGAAACTTAACTGAAATCTGTGTAAAAAAATGTGATTCATTAGCCATTCCTTCGGTTTTTAACTTTCTAAAAATATGTTCGGCCGCCAATGACATGCAACCTTCATTCTGGCCCACGAACGACAAAAGTTTGCCGATCCCTGCTTTAGATGATCTTTATGAAATGGCCCTGGAGTTTCAAATGGGCCTGCAGTATAGGTCCCAAGAAGATTGAATGTAGGGCAGAAATTGAACCAACGTTTCGAAATTCAATTTGACAAGCTGATAAATAGACACAAGGATTAGTTTGTTCATTAACACTTTTACTGTATTGTTTATAATAATAAAATAATGTTATAAATTCCTGTTATGATAATGAAACCTGAAAATGGGCCACAAAAAATAAAAGTTGAGAAACATTGACACACGATATTCTTACGATTATAACGGACGAGAGGTCGGCTGCAGGCCAATTGAAACAAAAAATATACAATTTTCGATCAGCCTGCATAATGATTCGTTTATTCAATTTTAGTTTAATAGAAATTCGAACGTCAAACGGATAGGTTTTCAATATTCACGTATTATCTTTTGCTTTCCCGAATTGCGAAATATATTATCATTAGTATTATGTTATGAGAGTAAACTTATAAAAGTATAATTAGAAAAGGGAATTTACTTAACGAGCCATATGGTTTGATCTCACAAATGCAGTAAACAAAATGAGTTACAAGAAACCGGATGACGTAATAATGATAATAAATAAACTATGCGATATGTATTACTTACGTTGGAAGTTTTTCTATAAGTATGGCCCTTAGTTACTGTGATGTTGATTAAAATTTACCGGAATTTTCAGGTATTTCAAACTGAGTTTCACGAATTTCTTATTACAAAACAAGTTTTTGTTTGTACTGTTAAAATAAAGAACGTGTATAATGCAAAAACTTTGGATCAACTTAAATCATACGATGATTTTAAAGTAATTGACAGCTTCTTGCGCAAGATTTTATTTCAATATCATGCTGTGCATATTAGTAGCTAGTTTTCGACTAGTATAAGAAGTAGTGTCGATCCCTGGTTTTTCTTGCTGTCAACATAAAGCCATCGATTCATAGCATATGCAAGTACAATGAAAATGGTATGCCAAGCTGTAATAAACAGTGGCACTCTGTTTAAAAAGAAAACCTACTTACTGTGTCTTGGTGGTAACCAGTGTTCCTCTAAGGTGTGCGCGTGTGCGCGCGCACACAGCTTTCAGAGGCTGCGCACACGCATAGATTTACTGCGCACAGACGTATTTCGATGTAATGTAACAATGTTCTTTTGTTCTTTTTTCACCCTTTATTTGAATTCAAATAAAACCATCTGTTACAATCAATTTAATTTATTATTTACCATGTATGTTCATTGTTATCTACTGATAACATATAGCCTTCACTGAAGCATTTACAATCTATAGAAAAACCTATTGAATAACCAAAATTTTCTTAATAAGCCCACTTATTATCCGGTTAGAACGCCAAAATTTCTTCATTGGTTTATGCACAAATATCAGTCATTTCCAAAAAGGGGCACACACCAAAATTTCTGCGCACACATACTACAAAAATTAGAGGGAACATGGTCATGACTTTTGTGAATATTGTCTGAAATGATTTCTTATTCTAGAGTCCTAGACCATAGTTGGCGGTTCGTTGATCACCCCAAAAGTTCTAAACAATGCATTTATTGGATCTCCGCTATAGGAGACCCTTATTTTTAGTCGTTTTGTATGTTTGTCCAGCTGTAGCGCCCAAATGGCTGGACAGATCCGCATGAAATTTTTCACATGTGTGATCATGTCACCCTAATATTATGCGTTTCATCCAAATAACGGATTGATTTTAGATTTCAGTGGACATTTTGTTTTAATTTTTAGCCACATTATATCAGTCACGCGAGTATGTCTACAAAACGGGCAGCGCTTGAAATGAACTGACCTTTTTGACAACCCGCTTCCTTTGTAATCGCGCCGCCGTTGAAGCTCTTCAAATTTCCATCGATGGCAACCGGGCCTCAACTATCAGCGGAGATCCTGGGCACCTACCGGCTTGTCTTATTATAACTTAGCATAAATGATTAGAGCCACTTTTCCCAAAGTGGAGAGGAATGCCTCGCCAGTACGATTTTTTATCTTTCTTGAAAGGAATTTTGCTTTGTATTTGCTGCAGTACTACTAATATTCTTCAGTTTTCCATTATTGCTATAATAATTATTTATGCGCACATTTATAAACTACTTGAACTGTACAAAAGCGGGAGTGTGACCTGCGCATTACAACATATAAGGTGTCGCTATTGAGTCAGAGCGAAGGAATCGAAACCGAAGATCGATAAGTCGGCGGTCTCCGATCGCTATCTAGTTGCTTATCGATCTCGATCGGTAAGTATGTTGATAGGTATTTGTCTGTTTGTTTGTCTGTTTGTTAGTCTGTCTGTTAGACATTTTCGTATGTTACGCGATATCTCACGAAAGCGAGGTTAAATCTGCTCCAGATTTTGCATGTGCATTTATCATATCTCGGACCAGAAGCCTATTAATTTTGGATGAATTATATCGTATATTTAGCGAGTTATTAATTAATTAATCAATTAATTTTTTTTTATTATTATATTTTTTTTCATTTTTTTCTTTTTATAATTAGCGAGGTATTACTTAATTAATTTTTTTCTCGGAAGATCGATAAATCAGCGGTCTCCGATCGCTATCTCGTTTGTTTGTTTGTCTGTTAGACACTTTCGTATGTTACGCGGTATCTCACGAAAGCGAGGTTGAATCTGCTCCAAATTTTGCAAGTGCATTCATCATATCTCGGACCAGAAGCCTATTGAGGATGAATTATGTGGTATAATTAGCGAGTTATTAATTAAGTAGTGATGGGACACGCGGTGTCGCTATTGAGTCAGAGGAAAGGGAACATGCGGATAAGTCGGCGCTCTCCGATCGCTATCTAGTTATGTTGTTGTTGTGAAAAAATCGACTTGCTCTATTTCTACTGGACCAATTGCTTTTATATTTTCAGTAATTGAAGCTTGTTGTTGTTGGTAGAAGATAATTACTCTAATTTTATTTTTAAATATTTTTGGCCCCTATGAGATTCTTTTTTCATTCCAAAGTTTTGTGTGGTAACGTTATCAAAATTAAAATTGCCTGTTGTCCTCCCGGATCACATCTCAGTTATGTGGTGGTCAGACTAGCGGTACTGTAAGAGATTTGATACTACTTCGTTTTGGCTTTCGTGGCCATAGATTTAAACTTTTATTTATTTTACCATCCATAGTAGCCAAATCCTATGTGTTTTTGAATTGAACAACAAGATTACTAGCACCGGTGCGCAATACATCTTAATCAATTAATACATCTAGATCACAAACATAAATTTCTCATTGATGTGGCATATTTCATTTTGAAAGTGGTAGATTTAATATATATGTATATCGAATCTTGCGCAAGTACGGTACTATATTCTATCTGTTTTAGGACACATAACAGGCGTTGCATAAAACTCGTTCAGGGCGATTTTTGAGTTATGTTTTTAAATTCATTCAACGTCAGACGGGATCGACTACTCGAGACGTGGCGATCGATCGGTCGATCGCGATCGACGTGTTGGCCACCCCTGGTTTATGCAATTGGCATATGCAAACGACCTAAAATAGCTCGTGTCACTCTGTATAACCTCTCAAAAAGGTCATTTTAACTCCGCGTTAACATTGCTACGGGTATGTGAGATTCATAAAACTAGGCACTGATAAAGCAAATCGTTGGCGCATCGCGAGATACAAATTTGAAGGCTGAAAGCGTTGCTTTACGATTTTCCAAATGACTCTTCGATTTGCCTGAGTAGCACTAGCTTTTGTCACCTGCAGACTTCACAATGACAAATAATAATTTGAAGTAATATGGACCATTAATCCGGAATATATCTTTCTGTTATCTGGGACCATCTAAAGCTAAATATCTAAAGCGAAGGTTGATTACATTCAGGAGGCATGCGGCTTCGATATACCGTTTGCTCAAGCGAGCTCGAGGTCACGTCTGTAAATAAAGCTCTCTTGTATATGGACTTCTACATATCTAAATTGAATCCTCAAAAAGTCGGAATTAGCGGGATTAACTTGTTTATGTCCTAACCAGCAAATCCCTAACCACAATCCGTCAGGATTTATATGATGTCCGAAGCTGGCCTAAATTATGAACTTTTTTTTTTAATTTTGAAGCCAGTTTTTACAAGAAAACAATACTGCCGGAAATTCTCGTTAAATACCAACTGGATTCTTTTCGGTGTTTATTTCATGACCAACTATAGCAATCTCACTCCTTTCTATATTTATTGAACAGGCTAAGGCTAAATTATATTTTTATTTCATCCATTTATTTGAATTAAATTTATTTTTCATGCAATTAAAAAGAATACAATCCAGGCATTTCCCGTCCACATTTACATGTTGCTGGTGATCCAGGATCTGTAGTATGCTACATCAGTGTAGACACCTGGTTTATTGGCCTGAGCGCATCCATAGCCCCATGAAGTGATTCCGGCAATGGTTGTTGAACCTTGAATGTAGGCAGGTCCACCAGAGTCACCCTGCACAAAATAGAATAATTAGATGAACATCTTCAAGAAAAGATTTGTCGAATTTCATATTTAGCAAAATATACCTGGCAAGAGTCTTCTCCACCAGCCATATTTCCCATGCATATCATTCCAGCTAAAATGTCACCGTTGTATGCAAGTCTGGCATTGCAGTCACTTGTAGAAATGACCGCCACATTTACAGATTGCAAGTTGTTTGGAAGACTTTGGACTGGAAAGTAATATTAAAAATATTTTTAAGATTGTTTTGATGAATAGAAATATTTAATGTTTTTGAAAATTTAAGGTCCGAGCTTTAAAATGAAATTGTTCCCAATGCGGTATCATTGATATTTGTACACTAAAATCAAAACTTTGGAATCATTTGTTTTGAAAGTGTTGGAGATGGAAGCTGAGTCGTATTCTATTTGGAATCCTTTTATCCCCTCGTAATCTGTAGTGGGGATCGGAAATTACTAAAGTCAAAATTTGGTTATTGAATTCTCGACAGAAACAGTATAGTGTTTGTAACATTAAATCTTTTGACCTGCCCATTTCAAAATTCGAAGCCAGAACCCGATTGGGAATGGCTTAAAGGTGGAGTCATATAGAATATTTTGCGAATCCACAGTACTGTGCACAGTACTTTGCATATAGACTAAAGTCTATAGTAAAGCTATAGACTTTAGTAAAGCAATAAAACGGCAACACGACGCATCAAAATGATGAATCAACGTTTCCAGTTGTGTTCATAACCAAGACTATAGTCGATGTTTGAATATTGAAAACTCACTGATGCCAGAGTTGGTGTCACCCCATCCAGCGACAGTTATGCCAGTGCCAGCGGAAGGTGCAGTGGTTTGCAAAGGTGCTGCGGCAATAGTCGAACCAAAGCTGAATGATGACTAAAACAAAACAAAAAATCAGTTCAATATCGCGGACTTGGCGCGTGGTTATTCCTTTTTATGATGTAAATATGTAGTAGGCAAAAACTCACTGCAAGCTGCAAAATCATAATGTCATTTTGGATTGTGTTGGAGTTGTATTGAGGATGAACCACTTTTCCGCTAACGGAGATGGTAACTCCACCACTGTTACGAGTCACAGTTCCCGCAGTTACAGTTAATCCAATGAGATTCCTATGAAAGTAAATAACATTAATGTGCACTGCTGCCAATACCAATGTTCGGGTACATAACTCTACGAACGACATGGTGATATTTCGACTTCTAATTTGTCATAATTACATGAAATGTATTTATGTGTGAGATATTACATTTTGCTTTATTTTTATACAAAATGGTGTATATTTAAATTCTTACTGTTCGCAGTGAGCAGCAGAGAGGACTCGGTTAGCTGAAATGATTGTTCCGCCACAGAAGAATGAGCCACTTTTTTCCTGGAAGACGATTGACGGGAACTGGCCATTAGAGGCAGCAGTACCACCAATAATCTTGTCGGCGTTGGCGCCTGAACGAATTACAAAATAATAAAATTGTTTTGTCTATTTGAACGGAAAAATTAGCGGATACGCGAACTGAAACAAGCCAAATAAAAAAAAATTCAAATTATCCATATAAAATAAATTACCTACCACAAAGGCAGAGAATGGCGACGATTAAAAGTTTCATTCTTATTTGTTCGTTCAACGATTCCAAAGAACTGATAGTTTAGATCAGAAAGGGTGCTCTTTTTATACCAGTTGAAAGGCCACTGGACATATGCTATCGATGTAAATACAAATATATTTACGACATCATAAGTGTCAATTTACAAAAAATTACCATATTATATTTTTTTTATCAACATATGATGAATTCTCATGGTTTGGTGTACACTGGTCAGTTGACGTAGTTAGTTTTCTTGTAGCATACACATTAGAAGAGACATCAAGTCTAAAAAAAATTGTTACTCTTGTATACATCTATATCGTATAGATATCTTCAGTATCTGCAAAGAGTTTCCCTGGTACACATTCTTGCTTCAATAATTAGTCCCTTCCAACTAGTTTTTATCGTACATGGAATAGAAAAGCTTTTTTAGTTACCATTCGCCGTTATTCCCACATCCCAGAAAGAGGACATGATTAGGTCGATAGTGACATCAAAACCAATGACACTGTTCAATTCGTGTCTCCACAATCGATACACATTTAAGCTTTGCTTTTTTGTTGGACACGAGGTCTACATATTAATCGTTTCTATATTATGTTGTTGTTGTTCTTGTTGTTAGTATTTTTCCCCTTATCGTTTTAAAAAAAACTCTTTTCTCTTCAATTACTGGACCAATTTTCATTGGTTAAAGTTTATATTTTTCGCTTGAAGTCTATCACTTTTATTTATTTCAAAAATTAATGTGGTCTCTATGAGAATCGTTTTTTGTGTGCGGTGACATCATCAAAATTGCGCAGTTGGTAGCGGTTACACGTTTGCGTTTGTCGTAAAATTTGCTGTACGTTTTAGATTTCGTGTCCATATATTTGAGCATCGTTCTCTTGTTGTTCTTCTTGTTGGTATTTTCTTCTTTTTATTGTAAAAAAAATAGGTTTTTCCTTCAATTGCTGGACCAATTGCTTTAAATTTTCAGTGGTTAGAGATTGTTATTGTCTCCAGAAGACTATCACTTGAATTTTTCCCAAATTACTTATGCAATCTGATATTTCATCTAAAATTCCGATGTTTTTTTATTTATTTACGGGAACACGTTTTTATGACAGCGTGGCGGCTGTCTTTCGTTCAGTTTGCGAACTTGTGCCTGGTTGTTAGGCGAAGTCGAGAAGGCGGTCGTACCGGTAGTCTGATGTGACAGTTTGCATACCAGTACCGGTACCCGTACTACTTTGTTTTGGCTTTCGTGGCAATATATTTGAGCATCGCTCTATTGATTCTAAGAAGATCAATTTAATAAGCATATGTAGGCTTACCATACGTCCCGTTTTAGGCGGGACAGTCCCGCTTTTCAGCGTTTTATCCCGCCGTCCCGATAAGTCAGCCAAAAGTCCCGCTTTTCCAGCATAATACACAAACATGTTCTCGTTACTGTTGTTTCCTTGTAGCGCAGCGCTAGCCTACTTACTGAAGGCGAATGCGTTCGTTTCTCACTGATTCCCATTGGTGGCAGACGTATCGCATGTAAAACCAATACTAATTAGTCTAAATTCGAATATTTGTACCGGTATCGTTAACGTCAATTCCTTCCTATTTTTCGAACTGAACCCGATATTTTGACAGAGAATATGCGCATGAAATTTCGATAACAATATGGTCAATAAAGACAGCCGGGACAGCTTTAAATGTAGGAATGTAGGCCTATGTAGTAAAATCGGAAAATGTGAAGTTATAAAATCACAGCTAAGGGGTCGTTGTCTTTCGAGGCGTCCCGACTTGAAGTCACAAAAATATGGTAACCCTAAGCATATGCCTTCTCTTGGCATTGGTTTAACTTCCGTTGAGGGGACTTGGCACATATTTACTAACAGTGACTTTCTTTAACATAGGCCCCACCAGTCAAGAGTGGGCAGATGATAACGCCCATGTCGATATTTGGCCCTATACCTCGATAATGTAAAGTCTACATCGCTGTATCGTTGATAAAGAATCTAATAAAAGCTCAACTTATTCATTTAATTACTTTGTTGTGTAAGGTGATAACGAGTGACGCAATATCTGTCGCGTTGGTGAGAACCAGCCATATTTAGGTTTACGTCAGTAACTATTACTATTTATAAAACGCTTCCTTTGTTTTTTCATTTAAATTTTATTATTCCAAGAATTGATAAAACAGCAGAATTATCTTAAGCTAGGTAATAATTTATAGCTAGCTATGCATTTCTAAAATATATTGGAAGCTAATCATGTAAGGTCACATTAGGACGTGTAAAAATTATTTTGAAATATTGAGGTCGCATGAGGGACGATAATATCACGGAAAGATCCTATTGGTTAGTATTATACATTTTAAAGACGTTTATGTGTGAACAAAATTTAGCTTTGCTCTTTTTTCCAGTAACAGACTACATCTACAATTTACATCATATAAAATCCCAATGAACAATGGGTGAAGAGATATAGTTTCGATGTTCTCGGATGTACGTGGACTACTGCTGATCACTGATCGTATAGTAGAGGGTATAATTTAGACGTGACAAATCCTGGCTGACATAGAGAAAGTCAGACATAAACGACAAATGCTTCGTACAAATTTTCACAATGAGTTGCCACAATTCAATTTTTCACAAGGATTCGCAACTATATATTTACCTGAACCAACTGACGAGTCAGCTTTTAGTTAAGTTAATATATATTGCTGTCTCATTTAGATCATGTTTAGAATAGCAAATCATTTTTATTCAAGCGTGGCTTTCTTATTCACAGAACAAGAGAGCAGTGCCCGAATATATGGACACGAAAGCCAAAACCTACCATAGCCTACTATCGTACCTCATATAAAAAAGCGCAACTTACACATGAGATCCGCAGACAAGCGGTCGCGAAACCGCTACAGGTAATTTTTTTGGCCAAATGGATCTATGGATCGTTTTCTTATCAATTTTTTTGACGTCACCACACAAATTTAAAACGAATTCCATGGGGACCTCAGCAATTTTGGAAATAAAAAGTGGCAACAACAATCTTTAACCAATGAAAGTTTCCAAGTAATTAGTATAGCAAGTAAAAAGAAAAGCTATTTATTTTATTCTTTTTAATTGCATGGCATCTGTTTCGTGTACATGGGACAGAGGTAAAGGTTTGAGGGTATATTCGTTCCTAATTACAAGATGACTTTTTCAGCAGCAAAATAGTCAGTAAAGATTTCACCAAACGAATGGGCCAAAATGAGTGAATACGATTTCAAATAATTTATATGAGTGAGATATTGACTAAACCTAATTTTTCATAGCTCAATAAAATTGTACAATTAGGGTTTACTTGTCTGACTAAAACGATATTACAAAAATAATATCAAGGCTAATTGTAATATTGCTTATTTCCCTTAGATTCTCGTGATCGTGAGGATACATATGATAGGATTTTTATTGTGGAGAAAGGAAGCCAACCATATGGCATAGATCTAGTGTACTGTAGGCAAACCACTATTTTCCTTTTGGCATATTTGTATATTGTGAATTTCATAGCATTGACTACAATATTTTCTACTAAAAAATTTTGATCATATCTTATTCTCCTTTTAGGAAATTTGTATTGAGATTATGCGTCAATTAAGCTTTATTCAGTTCTTCCATTTCTATTTCATCTTTTTCAATATCGAATTCTTTGATTCCATTCCGCTTGGCAAATATAAGACTGATCTCCTGAAAGCTTTTGTTCTTTGTCTCCGGAATAACAAAAAATGTGTAAGCGGTTGATATAGCCCCCGAAATCAAGAACACAACAAACACGTACTGTCCCATGAATTTCTAAAAATATAAAATATTGTTTCCAAAATTTAGGTCATAACTACCAAGCCATTAAATAACCAAAGTTTGTTGTATATGCATAATGTCTAAATTCCATTTTATCAGAAATTCGTATATAAATAAATTTAAAAAGCGATGATGAAGGATATTTTACATATTGAAGAATATGTAATGCGGTGAAAGTTACGTGTATCGTGAATATTTTGCAGTGGAAAATTAAATTAATTTATGTCCAAATTATAGGTGTGATTGCTGTGTATCATACCGGAGGGCTGAATGAATTCACCCTCTTTTCAGACGTCAAAAACGTTAATCGGCTAAAATCTTTAAAAGGATAATTATGAAATATATAAAAAATGTATATATATTTCAAATACTACAATAAGCGCATATATTGAAAATGCAATGAATGTTAGACTGGAAGCTAAGAAAACAGCCAGCGTACGAGTACAAACCTGCATAAATGGAAATATTAAGGCAACTATGATGTTGAAAGTCCAATTCAAACAGCAACCAAGTGTAAAAGCAGCGGGTCTTGCAGATTGTCGGAACATTTCCGCTGTCAAGATCCAAGGAATAGGTCCTGGCCCAATTGCAAAGCCGATTATGAATATTATTACGCAGACAATGCTGGCGTAAGACATCGCAGGAACGGTTTCTTGTAAGGATAGAGCTATGGTCATCAAGAGGCAACTAACAGTCAGAATAGCGTAGCCCGAAAGAAGAAGACTTTTCCTGCCAGTTTTTTCAATGATTCCAGCCTGAAAAATAATATTTTATAACATTAACATAAAGCGAATGTTTTACAGATTTGAAACGGGAGAAAATGTATCAGGCTGTTCATTCCCAAAATGTGTTGCCGAACCATTTCATTAATTATCAACATTATCGTCAATATTAGAGATATCCTTCTTCGTTATTTTAAAACAAATAAAGTCAAAATTATTGTTAGAATCAGTTTATCAACACGTGCAACGTATTTCGGTCGCGTTGCGAATTGGTTTTTACCAAGGGGTTTCTACATTACTAATTATATGCATTTTTTGCGACTAAACGAATAGCTCTCATAATGTAAACCTTATAGAACCTTTGTGCCTGTCGTTTAAAATCTTGTTAGAGACGTTTGGCATTGGAAAATATTTCCTAATGTGCGTATTGCCACAAAGATTCACCCACTAATTTTCACTAACTTGATAGTTTTCTCTACAACATAAAGTTTAAAGTATCCAGAAAAGCTCTTAATTCCTATACATCGAATTTGATTCGAATAGAAAGCAGACAAGCTAGAAACTTTGCAACTGGTATCGCAGTGATTAAATTCTGGCGCTTGCCAGAAGCCAATTTCCATATGGAACACGATATTCTTTAAAATAATTTTTAACCACCAGTGCCTGGAGTCTATAGAAAATATTTCATTTTCAACACTACTTTAACACTAATTTATTTTATTCTCACCGCAATCACGGTCATAATAACATTCACGGTTCCAACACATATTGAAAAGTAATTTCTCATTCCTTCTTCCACTCCAGCAGTCTCAAATATTAAGTTAAGATAGAAGAATATCTAAAACAGGTGGAAATTGATAAAAAAAAACTATAAACATATATTTGTTGTGCATAAATAGATGTTTTATCACTATGTTTGGCAGTTGACACCCGTTTTTCAATTTCGAATATATTTTATACAGTTACAACTATACACAGTGCTGCCACAACGTCCTTATTTCCAAGAAACGTTCTTATTTTGACATGTGTCTCTATTTTTGTTTCATTTTAGAGGTAGAGGTTCTAATACCAGGCAAAAGAACAAAGAAGAACTGCTTGTGCAAATCCTTGCTAGTACGAAGTACGATTGGACACGCCTCGCACTGGCATGAATACATTTTATCTGTTACATTTCGTTCTTTGTTATCCTATTATGTTTCCCTGGTGTCATTATGTTTGGTTTCATATCGATGTCAGCCCTTTATACACATTGCTGATATTAATATATATCTACAATTTGTTTTGGTGTCAGTCCTGATTATAATGTTATTTCCTTGTTAATAAGTTTACACAAACTTGTACGATGAACAGATGTTTGATCAACCACCCCTAGCGTGATTTCACGAAACTTATTCGTTTTCTTTAGTATTTGTTTGAGTGAACTTTTTAAAATAACACTCATAGCACCGAATAATTCTCTTTCACAGTAAAATTAGCACGTATATAACTTGTAGTGTAGTTAAGTATTTCTATCAGGTTATAGCATACATGTATCCTAAATGAATTATGTCCATGAACGTTTGGGGGTCATATAATCTAAAGCGCTTGAGGCTTAGTAGAGCATGTTATCGTTGCAAGGGAATTCTTTTTACGATAATTGAGGTCTCTTTATTTAGAAAAGTTTAGTTGAAAAGGGCATTTAGAAAAATTGATCATAATATTTTCCACAACTTACTGCATTAATTCCGCTTGTCGGTTGACCAATATGCACTGCAAATACTGATATAACTTGCCATCTGACGGATTTATCACGTATTAGCTCCAACAAAGACATTTGACTTGCACTTGATTCTGCTGCTGCTTCTTTTTTCATCTCTTCAATTTCATCGTCAACGTCTTGTGTTTTACGCAATCGAATAAGGGCTGAAAATATAAATATATAACGATGAATGTAGTGATTACATTTGGCTAATGGTAACCGAACGAGAGGCGTCTTATCGGCTCTCCTGTCCCCCGGGATAAATATGATAACTTATTCTTAGCCTTTTACATCATTAAAACACATATGCATAATATCCGCTAGTTGGCGATCACGGACTCCTATTTCACTCGTTCCACAAAGAGCTGGTTATAGATTAACAATGCATGTATAATAACAACTTTACTTTTGTCCCATTTACGAGAAATAATAATAAGCTAGTGTTTCGAAAAAAAGACATATTTTTGGTGAATACCGAGTTTTTTGTCAGGCCAATTGGTATGGCAAAAGTGTTTCTTTGCAGGGAAGCAGTTACACTACGTGGGTCTATAGATCGTTTTTAAATCGTGTTGTTGTTGTTGATTGATCTTTTTTTAAATAAAAAAGCAATTGGGGAATTAATAAACCACAATCATTTTTCAAAACTGCAGTGCTGCCTCAGTCTGTTCTCAAAACAATTCAGGAAGCAATCTGTGAGAGTTTGAGGTCATACTGCCAGTATCCGGCTTATAAACACATGCTTGCATTACATCAACTATACCAAAGATGGGTAAAAAAAATTTATTGATGTTTTTAGTAGTTCACCTTCCCTTGCTTTGTCCTCCTGATTCCGGTCTATCAATAAACATCTAGGACTCTCTGGGCAGAACGGTAAAACACATAGTTCTAATATGGACGGCACACAAGTCAACGCAAGAAGAAGAGGCCAAAGTTCCTCGGTTCCAAGTAATTCCGTCAGTCCAAATATTTGTCCCATCAACAGCCCTAAAATGGGAACATAAATTGTGTCGTACATTTGAATTTTTCTGGTCTTGGCAACAACGAACGTACTGATGAATTACGTATGTCTGTCAAGAATTAGGCCTAATTCAGACTCAGAGTATTGCAACGATTTCTGATGTGTGTTTATCTTCCCGTTATACTCTTACCACGAAACAAAATATGCGTCAGATTAAAGTGGGTGAAACAAATGACTTTTGTGATGCGACCGGCTAACAAAAAAATTGAATCCCACCACTGGTACTGACTATGCAGATAACTACATATATACGCATACAAAAATTTCTCCGCTACCAATACGTGAGCGCATTCCTAATGAAATCGTCACAAATATATGCATTTTTATGTTCCATTTAATTTGTTGATTTGATTATGTAATTGTGCCAGGAGTAAATGTTTTATCGTTTATTTGACATTTATTCAAATAATACAATTCAGACATAAGGCAAGATACAGTATCACTGCTACCGTTGCGAATCAAATTGATCATATTTATTATTCTTGGAGTGAGACAATGACTTTCGCATACTGCAGAAGATATTGTAGGACCGTTTGTCTGTCGAGACACGCGATATTCGGCAAAACCCTTGCAGCGGCCAAACTTGCATTCGTTACGTAATAATATGCTCTATCGCACTTGCTCAGTCTCAAATAGCGTATGTGTATATCGTATTTTGCGCATATACAATACTGTAATCTTCCTGTTCGAAAACACACAACAGGCGCTGCACGAGACTGGTTCAAGGCAATTTTTGGGGTATGTTATTAAATTCACTCAACATCAGACGCGATCGACTACTAGAGACGACCGGTCGGTCGATCGCATGCACCCCTGCTGTACAAATATTTTGCCACGAACATCAGTGACAGATGATTGCATGGTAATCGCTCATTGACAGCGATGTGTTTAACAAGTACAAGTGTGTTCGTACAGACAACAAAAATTATTTGAAAAAAGTAGATATGGATGCACTTCGAGACTATTTCTTGATAAAATAAGAAAAACAATACGACAGTTAAACAAATTGCAATTAAACAGTTCTGAGTGAAATGTGATATGATATGATTGTGGAATAGAATATACCGATTTTCTTACCAACAGTAATAAGGAGTTGGTTGAGAACTCCTATTGCTCCCCGATATTTTTTTGGTGAAATTTCTCCAATATACATTGGGACGATTCCTGTAGCTAAACCTAGAAATTTAAGAAAAAATTTATATTGGATCACTTATTTGTGTCGTTTATTTAACCATTATGTGTTGCAACCGTGAGGGTTGAACTTTACGCTGTCAATGGTGCCACGAGATTTAAAATGTGAAATACCTCGAGCAAAACGAAATTGATAAACTGAGAGCTGGCAAGTCATTAATTGGGGTATTGAGCCTAACTCAATATTGGCGTATCTGTTCACAGACAGACCCCGGTTCACCAACTGTAATAAATTGAATTAGCTGTGTTAAAAAGAAATCACTCATATCTCACTCATAATACCTCTCTGTTGAATCAGAGACTTGGGATCAAATACTTTTCACAGAAAAGCCGTAAAAATTCCGTAGACTTCCGTAGTCAACGCAACGCACTTGATTATCATTATTCGTTTGCTCAGTGCTAGATTATATGTTGAGTATCGCTATTGGTAATCATATGTAAACATCCCCCCGATAAATATTCCAATTGTGATATGTAAGGAAATAAATGGAAATGTGGACATCACTATTTTTAAACTCTGCAAATAGGATTGCATAGGCAGGAAAAAAAAAACAAGAATTTTGAATGCGCGATCACACATATAAATCTCGCTTGTAGGCCCTGTTAACGTCCAGGTCGACCTGGTTTTCTAAATCTTGAATAAATACTCGTACATTTATTTAATAATTAACTATGTAATAAACTAAATTATGTCTATATGTTTTATTCTATAGAATAACGTGCTAACGTTGAAAACGAGAATATCGGTCGGAGACCGAAGACTTATCGATCGGAACTGCGGTTTCGATTCATGACTCTATAGTGACACCGCGTGTCCCATCACTAATTAATCAATAACTCGCTAATTATACGACATAATTCATCCAAAATCAATAGGCTTTTGGTCCGAGATATGATGAATGCACATGCAAAATTTGGAGCCGATTCACGCCTTCGTGAGATATCGCGTGCATCTAACAGACAGAAAGACAGACAAATACCTATCAACATACTACCGATTAAAATCGATAAGTAACAAATACCTGCATAAACACCAAGGAAAAATCGTGGTATAATCAGTAAAACTATACTGTTTGCAGCCTTACTGCATCCTTCCATTATTGCAGCGCTGATAGAGAGTGAGTTCATGAGTAATTGGGACTTTTTTCTGTAATACATTTAATTAATTAGTCACTGAACGATCGTATGGAGCACTATACTTTAAAGAAAGGGTTCTCAACCGGAGTCAAATTTGGATTGTCGTGAGGGTAAAGTTTGCAAACAAGATATTCAAACATTTCGCAACTACGCAAATAGGCCACCTGTTTCATTTCACTACATATCCAAACGTGGCCATTGTTGAGTTTACAACATCATATATCTTGCGCAATAGGGAGTACGCCGAGCCCGGTGTTAATTGGAATTCGGTCGTATATTAAACGAGTAGGGTGCAAGTTATTGTGATAAGATCATAAATAACGAGCTTTACCATTTACACACATAACGCATTTAAAGTAAAATAATTTTTCCCAAAAATCGGCGTTCCAGATGTGACGAATCGATGATTTTGTAGTTGCCTAATAAAAATGGTAGTTTTTCTTCTAAAAATGTAATTACCGGTAATCTTTGTAATGTAAACAGTTGAATGAATATGGCACCAAACAAACAACACATTGAGTACTTCTTGAAGTAAATAAAATTATAAGAATCTGAGTATGAACAAATGTTCTGAAAATTTTACAGGGATATTATAAAATTATAACACAGTAAAGATTATCTGACCTTCCATATCGTTGTACGAGAAATCCAACAAGTAGAGAACCGATCATACCACCTATAGTGAAAATCGATACTGTGAAGGACCATATCAATAGTTCTGAAGGTGACAGAATAATATCATAGGATTCAACTACATTGGACGATGCCGTCGTGTACTTCATATAAGTGTAATTTGAAGTTGACAACGCAGCTCCAGTGGTCTGAAACAGTTGGCAGCACAGACATAAATGTGTTGAATATTCCGTTTTATGTGTTGATCATACTGTTTTATGTGTTAAACATTCCATTTTATGAATAGCGAAAAAAAAGTTTAAGTACTACATCAATCACGCAGTCTCAGTTTCTACTTAGTTGTTTGTGACAAATTACATAGTTACTGATGACCAAGCTAATTTTTAGTCAGACATACAAAGTTTAATATTGTGAAAAGCATTATAATCAACAATGTCAAATGTATAGAAGCAAAATCTATAACTGCCAATTTAACTAGGTCAACTCTCACGGTAGTTGTTTTGATTTCCAAGGAAAAATAATATTGTATAACTTACTGAATTAAGTAAGTTTGTTCCATTATAGGATAGAAATTGATCGGTTTCATCTGGTTCAACTCCGTCGAAAAAGTAACTTTGTATTATCTAAAAAAGGGAATGAAGAAGATTAATAAGTGCTAAAGAATTATTCCTAATAACTGTTTGGTCAATAAACACTATGGTAAAAACATATGTAAAAACAAGAAAACTCAAAAATAAGGTCGTCATCGGTATCTGTATGGTAACGCCTGAGAGCACCCGATTGGGTGAAAAGATCGATGGACAAGCAATACGGAGGCGGTCGAGCAAGGCGCAATAAGAGTGTTGCCTAAACGTTTGAATAAAACAAAAAAATTCAGGTTGTCATAAAACTGAAAGAAAATTTGGTAAAATAAATAAATCCAACATTAGTTGCGGAGGAGATTTTTCTCAGCAGCAACAATCATTTAAACAACAACAACAATAAGAATTTAGCTGAACGATATATAAAACCTATTCGTGCCCAATAAATCATAGCAGTAAGGTGTCACAGAAATGACGTCTTAGAACTAGGTGGTAGTATTTCTTTCACCAGTCTTAAAACGACAAACCTTATTCGTATGAAGATAGATGAGTGAGAAACAATTTTACCTGCTTTTGCTACAAATGGAGCCTAGTTGAAAGGATATATACTCAGTCAATACTGAATAATAATGTGAAATCGACTAAGAACACTACTTCTTAAATACAGCAGTAGGATTAGACTAGCATATGATATTGAAACTCTCTACAGTACTGTTGATCGTCAAAACCCATTACAATCTCCATACAGAATTTCGCAACATAAGCAGCCTTACAACAATCAGCAATACCATACCTTTGCTGGAGCGTTCACAACGGAAATATTATATCCATATTGATACGTTCCTCCGAAAACACAAATTGCGACGCTCACTACCAACACCCAAGGAATTGTCTGAATACATAAATATAATTAGAATCTCTAAATATGCCTGATATCTCAATATTTCAAACAGATAAAATACCGGTTTTACGCACATCACACATTACGGTTGTTCCAAAAAGCCGGCTCTGCAATTAATGATTAACAGCCTGATACATTGCATAACCAACGCACAATTGTTGAGAACGTTATTGGCGGAGTACACATGTACCGTTTTAAGAGCTGTCGTTTATCTCGATAGCAACTATTGCGCAGAATGCACCATAGTAGCATGAACAATGTAAAACTATATTTATTAAATACGAAACAATTAATTTATGTCTGTATTGCCCGTGACATTCAAAGCAACCATAGCCAGCAGTATTGATGTAACAAGCTGTTTGTAAGTCGTTAAGTATTCACTCAGCCATAGTTCATAGTTCACTCAAGACGAGTGAGAAGAGATTCACATTCATTCTCAAACGGATATTTTTGTGTCCGTTTTGTTTCAATAATTTTTTTTTAGTTCATGGTAACGAGCTGCGCAATTTGATAACTCACGACCGGCAGTAGTCACATAAACGCACCCTCTTAGTAGGAAAATTGCGAAATGCAGGGCGGTGTTACATGACGTCACCAAAGCGCGGATCGGGTGGTGGGAATTTATGGGAGCGTGTGGCTGTTGATGTTGCTATAGTAGCAATGATTTATCATGTGAGTCACTATGTATATCTGAAAATCGAGTTGCTAGAATATTATCATGATAATCAAAAGGCTGTAATTCTGCTATCTAAATTGTTTGCGCCAAGTTTTCGTGGCCAATGTATTTATTATTCTAACCCAAATGTTTGCGGATGTAAACATGGGTCTAAATGTGCGTGGGTTCAAATGTACGATCACCGTGTGTTATAAATGCCTAATACAACGACACTCATCATCACACATTACAGATAGAGCAATCACACGATCGAAAACAGCAACAGTGGCTTTTATGGCATTCTGTTAGCTTTAAATGCCAAACAGGCCAACATACAAAATACAGTTATGAGGGGTAGTAAAAATAATAACAATAACTCAAATAATACAAAATTCCACTTGTAGCTCGACACAAAATAAATTTGCCTTGAATTTCGATAAATTCTGCACTAATATCATTATTAACGGGATATTCACAAAGAGGGCTTACGGCATGTTTTTGTCCATTACTCTAACAACCCGGCGCATTGATTCCGTTATGAAATTTTGTGTTATTGCATAAAAGGCAAGGCATTACAACCAACAGTACCCAAAGGCCTGTGCATCAAAAATACTTTGTGCGATGCTGTGACATACAAGACGAATTTATTCACATTTTTATTGGTTACTCCCGAAGTATGTGAATCAAGATGGCAGACACCGGAACGTGGTATGTGTACCGGGTTAGGGTTAGGCCATAATTTCAGGTACAAATACTACGGGAGACACTTGGCTAGTCCCCGAACTCGTAATAGAACTAAAATAGGAGAATTGGAATAAAATTATGGCCTAACCCTAACTTGGTACACATACTACGTCCCGGGGTCCGCCATCTTGGTTCACATACTTCAGGAGTACCTTTTATTGCAACTTATGTGTTATTGTTTACAGTTGTTTATGCATAGTGGCCAAACAACACGTGACAAAAATTCGTCGACGAGAGCCAGAAACGCACCGACATGTGATACGGGGTTTGTTGGTTGTACGGTGTATCAAGATGTCGCGAACGCAAGAATTAAAAAATGAATTTAAAATTTTGCTTAAATGATACTATTTTATGAATCATCAATTACATTTATTGTTTCCATATAAGGCAGTGTTATTCACATTTATATGTGCTGCTAATTGAAATATCCCGCCGGGAAGTCAGACGGGATTTACCCAAAACTATTTGGTACCGCCAAATCAACGACTTGTTAATCAACTTCGACGCGTCTGGTAAATAGTACAGACCTCTGGTAAGATGTGAACCTCTCCCGCATTGGCATTCGAGACTTTGGCAAAATACTACATATCACACGCCATTGAGCAAGCATATCAATTATCCCAGGATGATAGTATAACTTCGAATAGACTTCGTCTACTCATTCCTTATCACAGTCGTGATAACGTCATGTGAGTTCTCTGTTGAATTCTTGTGTACATTGCAACAGTTTTTTGTTTGGTTTATGTGAGCACATTACTAATAAAAATCGAGCATCGTCACTTAATTTATAATCGGAGTACAAACATTTGAACGATCTTCTATTGTGCCATGTTTGTACATGTATATAATCACTGAATAAACTTCATTATTGCAAAAGTTATTAACCAAACAAAAGTTTTATTCTGGCTTACTCACTTTCACTTTTGGAGTAAAGTATTAAGAAAGCGAAAAGATCCCAAATCAGGAATAAAATGAATCAGAAGAATTACAATTTTCAAATTGTGTATGGATTCAGGATTGTGTGCTAAATTTCAAATTATAAAAATGTAGTAAATTAGAGAAGGATTCTCTTGTGAGTATAAATATATAAAGTGTAGAATTCCTCGATATACAAATCGTAATTATTATAAATAAAAATTAATAAAAAAGCATCAATATATCGTTTGGAAATTAAATAATTCTATTACGACGAAGACGTAGTGATAAATTGTTAGTTAATCTGTCTGTGGGTGTGTTGATTAATGAGGATTGGAAGACCAAATTAAACATATCTCTAAATTCGAAAATTGGATTAGTACATGATTGCACAGATATATGGTTTTTTTGTTGAATATCCACCTAAAATTGATTTGACCTCAGAGGTGCGCATTATAATAACTGTAATACCGTATAAATACATTTCAGTAAAGAGTTTTTTTTTAGTGTATAATGATAGCCCACTCATAAACAATAACGTTCGGTTACTTCCGCATTCGCGAATCAGCTTTGTTGAACAGAAGCCTTTTGTAAGTGAAATTGATATATCTTTGACGAATAAGTATTTAGGAGAGTTGTATACGACAAACAACGTTCGTGCGAGGGAATTTTAGTTGCGCCCCAGTTTTCAGTTTCAGAAAGACGTCGTCGTAGAAGGCAGAATAAATCATCAGTATGGGCATTAGAAAATAATTTTCAATGAGATCTTCGGGTGTTAACGTAATAACGATACGAGTACATCCAAAAATATTCAGACATCAGTTGCGCCAGTTATGCTAGGTTGAACATGGGAATATGCATGAAAATTCTGGCATTAGTAACGGGTTTAGTAATAGTGGTTATTCCGAATTAAATAATATGCTTATTGGTACTTCGCTTGTAGGTAAGTCAGCAAATGATAATAATTATTAATTTATGCTCAATTGCAGGGTGTTTATATTAACAATATCTGAATGAATTGTGATAGAGAGTGTTACTTTGCAAAATGACGTATGATGCTTTTCGTGTTAACGACGGGCCAACCCAACACAGTGCCCATTTTTATCCTGTAACTGCAGATGTTCTTGAAGCAGGTTTTATTCTAGCATTTTGCATTCTTGGAATTTCATTTTTCTTGGTTGTTCCAGGATTCCCCGGAATCAAGGTGAATATATCTAATAGCAATCTGATTTATACTCGAAATCAATTCCACGAAGTATTACCCCATTAAACACCTTATTTTTCATAATTTAACAAAATTAACAAACGGTCAAAGAGACCGTGGGTCATCTGAGATATTCAGTCCATCTGTGATGAAACAATATCTATACAAAACATCCAAATGTTCATTTTTATTAATTGGTATCGTTTTAAGCTCATTGTTAATGACAAAGACATGATGGTCCTATTAACTTTAAGTTGAGAAAAATGACGTCAAAATCGCAACCGAATTTTACTTTCTACTTCTTTTGTTTATCTTGAAGTTAAAACGAAACTCGTTTTCATTAGGCGTAAGTCCCCTTTTAATTATTGTAATGTACTCCTATAATAGAAGTATATGGTTACAGACGACCACCACAGAATGCTAGTAGTTTCACTTTGAATAGGTTCACCTAACGCACTTTTTACATTCTTACAAAGCAAGCACAATTACTACAACATGTTTATCCCGTTTGGCGAACAAGCTGATACTGGTGAATGTGTCGGAATTTCAATAAAAATGCATATAGACAAATAATTATGACATATATACGGTCAAGCTAATGATTAAACTATGGGTGCTTTTACATGACTTCTCATGTCACAAGGCTAACATTTATCGCCAACAGTTAGTGGTTCACCCAATGTTTGGTTAAGAGATGTCATTTGATATTCAAAAAAGTGTGACATAAAGGGTTTTGGGATAACTAATAAACAAGATACATTCGCTCATCGCGCGAGTGTATTAGGTATAACTTGAATTTACCAAGCTAACGAAGAAATTCGGCACGACTTTATACCCCTTTTGTACGTATGGTGTCAACAGTACGTTATGTATTTGGGTGTCTAATGTGAAAAAATATTTTACAAAATTCAAATTATGAATTCCGAATAACGAGTGTCAATATATACGTGAACGATAAAACACGATGTTAGGTGATACGAGTATTATTTAAAAAAAAAAATCTTAACATGCCTAATGACCATGTAATTGTAAGACCTTTACATACCCCTTCATGTAGAAATATAGTCTGGTTCGTCTGAATACAGACGACATTATATATCGTGGAATTGAAAACCCAACGCATTTTCGTATGTTTAAAATATGTGAAAACAACATTTTAGTTTATCTTGCAAGTCGGAAGTTGCAATTTGTTTAGAAACAAGCGAAATAGTATTATTAACTGATCATGTTCAGAAAAAAATATAACGGCATCGACAACACACTGATATTGCTTTAAAATCAATAATTTTGCGCTGAAATATTTTGTGAACTCTGAATCAAAATTATGACGTCATCATCAACTTGAATATTTTTTTCGGCCCGTTTTAATTTGATTTGCACCAATCCATGCGTATCGCGGTATGGAAAGGCTGAAATATTTGGGGTTTGACATCGCTCATCCCAGAATACGCACCATGATAAGGTGGTGAGCATCGGACATCACCCTGGAATTTTTACGGGCACAAAGCGTTAACGACGAGGATCGTATTAAAATATGAATTTGTACTTTTCAGAGACTTTACTTCCTTATTCGAGTTGCAGTTGGCTTATTTATCGGATCTGCTATTTTACGTAAGTGTTGAATAAGCATTTTTTAAAAAAATCCACATTCAGTTTGTTTTGGACGGGTAGTTCGTAAATAATATTCTATGCTGAAAAGTTAATTCAAATACCACTCGTGCTAGTGGGTTTAACCAAGCCAAAAACGTACACAATGCAAATGTAAGCCTATATTATAAATGTATATCTACTGAAATCTTAATTCTAAAGTAGCCTATATTCAAATTTCGCTGCACAACATGTACGGATCAGACTATAGGTAAAGCATATTGAACATGGCGTCACTTGATGAAGTCTTTATATCAATTACCTGGCACTCATAATAATTGTAATGCTCATAACATAACATAACAAAATAACTCGAAAATTATTTTTTCAATCTCATAGTTGGTGTCATTGGGCAGGAATGGGAATTGGCGGAAATCGAAACAAAGACACCCTACAAAGTATTTTCAACGACTGAAATCAACGCCACAGTGGGAGCTAAAATTGGTCTTGGATCTGTTAACATTACATTGAAAGGTCAATTCAATATAACTGAATATCAATTACATCCGAATATATTATAAATAGACAATTCTTCAAGATAAAAATAGTATTAACTTAAATAATATTAAGATGTGAGAAACAGGAAGTTTAACGCATTTCGCAATTTCTTTGTACATTCGACTGAAAAGAAACAACGAAACTGACGTAACCAGCAACTAGTTTTAAACAGAAGTTATTTTATTTATAGCAGTTTTTGACATAAAGGCGTGTGTTTGTACAATTACAAGCGATCTCTATTTTCGTCTCGGGCTGGGCCGAAATCAGAAACTACGCCCGTCTTTCTAATTGAAATCAGAAAGTGAGCCAATGCTTGGTTTCATTCTTAATTTTTTAAAAGGATATGAAACTTATTACAGGCCATCCAGTGGAACAATTAGTAGACCAGACTCATCTTGTGGAGAATAATACTTATTGGATAGAACGTATCGATTACAACGAACGATTCCATTGGGCCTGGAGACAAGGACGTTTTGGATTTGGACCATATTGTACGTATCGCTTGTTAGCGAACATAATGTTGCACGAATAATGGAGTAAATTCATTATGTATTAATGAAGTCAAGCAATAATGATGAATATTCCGAGCTGTGGGTTTTACTATCACTCTAGATTATATACACCAAAGCAAAACTCGCCACATCCAAAATATTGTTTTCCAATAGATTGGTACTGGAAAAGTCATATATCATCAGTTACGAAGCTGTTTGCTTCTCGTTTTTAATAATGCTTGTTTAGTTGCAATTAAGACTTCTGTATAGTTGCAAATTTGTGTTCAAAATGTACCTGTTGTCTAAAAATATTTTGAACATTTCAGCGGGGCGAATAAATCAAGAGTTTCGTCAGGCGCAATATAAAGGACTACCAATTCCGATTTTGTGGGTTGCGGAATATTTTACTCTTGACGGAGAACTGATCAGATGGGGAAGATCATATAGAACTGCTGGATGGTACACCTATCAAGTATTATGGTGAGAAATACAAAACAAATCGTTAAGAATTAAAATTTAAAAAAGCCCACCTGGACACAAATTTGTTGGCTTGAATTCCAACCAGGCATGCGCGAAGATTTGAAAGAATCAAATTCACTAAACAACTGTGATCATTTTTTACTGTGTGTGACTGTCCGTTCCACAAATTGGTAACAAGTAAATATCAATGAAGCAAATGTCCAAACAACTATAGGTCTTACTCCATTGTTTCTCTTGTACTTTCGTTGGGATTCACTATAACAGACGAAAGTTTGAACAATGAACTTCGAACTCACTTCTCTCCTTATCGGTTTACTCCCATTTTTCAGGACTGCGTTTCCTCTCTGGATAATTTCGAATATATTATCTGTAATGTGTTTATCTTATTGTGGAGTAGTTTTCATGATGACTGGAGGTTGCATGCTTACAAGCATTATAATCTATTCTACTATACGTTGGGGAACACAGCCGTTGGTGATACCGTTTGAACATGGATCGTTAGAATTTCATTATGGTTCTTCGTTTTGGCTGACTATGGTTGGAGGTCAGTATATATTTTTACATATTGGTATGTGCGACAGGCCTTTATCGCGCTGAAACAAAAAGCATTTGCTGTTATCTTCGCCATTGAAATGAATTGGATAATTTACCTTGTATTCAGATCAAAAAATTTATTGTCGTTATGTACAAACCGTTAAAAATATATATAACACATATTTGAAAATGGAGAATTTACCATCGGTTACCATCGGATTACTGAAGGTTGATATGTCTTCTCTTCAAGCGATTGGAGAATGCCATCGTTTTACCCAAAATGAAGCTTTCCTATAAATAAACCTTTTTTCTATTAATATACATTGTCAACAAATTGATCGTATAAAAAATGATTATTTCATAAAAATATCACGTGTTTTATTAGAAATTAAAACAGGTTGAATTGACTACTAAAACTTGTTTTTTCATCAGAATATTGGGATGTTTAGCAATATACTTAATTTACATTGTTAAACTAAAGTTATTGGTAAATCTATTTCTAGGTGCTGTGGCATTTCTGTACGGTTTTATTATTTGGTGCATGGACAAATGGGCCGCACAAGTAATCTCCGATTTTTTCGACATTGACGTATTGAGAGACACTGAATATTTTTACCAGAGAGAAGAAGTGAATAAGGAAGGTGAGGCATGCCAAACACAGAAAACATTTAATTGGATTTGGGCGGTTGAAGAAGTGGAAAATAGCAGTTTGAAATTCGCCACGGAAATATCCACAATCTTAACAGTACTGTATAAAAAATCACAGATCAGATAACTGCAAAATTACAATCGTATTCCATTGCTCTCTACAATGCACGATTTTCAATGATAATGGCCTACACTGGAGACTATTTTTTATTGCTTGTTTTGAATTGACAATAGAACTGGATACTGATCTAAGTGTTTAATTTACTATTGCCTGTGCGATACTGACAAATAATAGCACAATTAGGATAGTTAGAATTTATGATGAGCTATATGCAAAGTCCGAACGAAAAAAAGAATTTAAGTTAGATTTAAAAAAAAAAACTGCGACCTATTAGGTTTAAACAAAAGTGAGCTGTGATCCATCTCTGATTTTATCTGGAATCATGCAAAACAACCGCAAGGTACAAATTTTTGTAATGGCTGTGTACGAGGTGCGTCTTCAGCTGAATCCAGGTGCTTTGAATTCACTACAGATTCACCGACAATCCCAACAAGTCGAGATGTATTGTTGATCGTAATTAAACTCAAAACCGTTTTATTAAATTCATATGTGCTGTAGTTTATTCTCACGAAAGCAGCCTATAGATGCAATAAACTGAGCAGGCTCTTTACTGGAACACAGATACATTTCGGTCTTTCTGATTGAATATATGTTCGAAGTATCAGTAGACGATTGTCTGGGCCTCATGCGGAACAAAGCGTGCTTGCTATTCCTGAAACCTTTTCTCACTGTTTTTCTTTCAACAGAACCACAAATGGGTGAACGAAGTACAGCACATACCGGAGGAGTTGCCAAACGAATTAATCGGGTGAGCGAATTTTAGGTGTTTACTCCAGCACATCCCAAGTTAGATCGGCGGTATTCAACCCAACGGGGATTACTGAAGCATAGTTGTAAACGACTGCTGATGCGCTATTTCGATAATAGGAATGAGTACCGAAAGCCTAATGTCACAAAATCTTACTGCATCGTCATTTAGTTTTTTAGGTTTTATGAGGGTACCGTCAGACAAGCCTTCGTGTATTAAAATTTTAAATGTTTTTCTGTTGTTTTTCAATTGATTTTGATATATTTACGGCATATTTCATATATATCAACTGTTTTCATTTCAAGTTTCAAAGTGTAACGACAGAGATCCAGCTGGAAAATAAGGCATACGAAGCCGTCTTACACACTCAAGTATATTCATAGTAGTCGGCGTGTGTATTGTTCTTGACTTACATTAGCTGATTTAAGTCTAAGAATTAGGAGTGCTGAATGCTAACGAAGAAGTTGTTTGATTTCCAAAACTTTTATGGTAGAGATTGTAGAGTAACTGTTTTTTTTTAGTTTATCTTAGTTGCACGGTGTGATTTTTTTATGTTTTTCTGTAATAACATTATCAAAATGTTTCAGATTGTACTATTTCAACTAACACATACTCGGAGGCAGTGCAAAATATTTTAGGAGATAATGTGTTATTTCCCAACGTATTGGGATTACATAAATACTTAAAAAAGAACAAATTTGTCTATCTGTGAAGAGAAATCACAACTTTTTTCAAATTTTTTGAGATGTTCTTGATTCTTTTTATTGATTTTTTACGCAATCTAGAAAAACTCTTGCCTTAGCTTATAATATTTTTCAACGTTTTAGTTAAATGAAATTGGGTTTACTGGCCTGTTTTCTTTCAAGTGAATGGGCTTGCTATTACAGCAAAGCGTCCAAACACTCACTATTATATATCGCTGTTTAGTGATTATTCTTGCATGGGTTCACAGATTCGAATCCTGAGTGGGATGATTACGTACTTGTAAATTTCTGTACTCTTCGGCTTCGCTATAACAAGGTAGTCCACGTACCACTGTTTGCCTTATAATTTTACCAAATTTTTAGACATCTTGTCTCAGGGATAATTAGGAAAAATCCTATCTTATCTAACTTTTATATAATTCCAAATGAAGCAATCTTGAAAACTTTTAGGCCCAGTCAAGATGGAGTAATAACACGATATCTCGAACACTGGCTAAGAAGAGTCGTCGCACTCCAAGACAACACAGTCATTCTCACGTACACCCATCAGACGCCCCTACGTTCAGTGCCTTGTCGTCAGCAGAAGATGACAGAGAAGATAACCCAGAAGAAATATATGAAAACGAGAGTGCAATACGGGAGAATGAAGCGATGGCTTAACCGCTCAAACTATGATAACAAAGATTTTTGATATTTCATGTTGCGAACATTTTTCTGAAAATAGCTACTGTCCTGTTACGTTAATTATATTTAAATAATATTGATTCATGCCCACAGAAATATTCATCATACCTACTTTAATCGCATGGTAATTCAATATTTCAACCTTTCCTCAATTTCCACACATAGTTAGAGTACCAATATATCTGTTTTCGATTTTTTTGTGGTTTGGTGTTGTCTGGAATCTGGAAAGAGGTAATATTTTTATCAAACACTTTTTTCACAAAACTGAATACATTGTAATGAAATTTCACAAATACAGCATTCCTAATGAAACGTACAGTGTAAAAATCTTTGTACAGAATTAACATTGTCTGATCATTTTTGATCTTATTTCTTTTCAACTAATAACTAATCGATTATTGTATTTCCAGTTGATCAAGATAAACGTGATTACTAAAAGACTAATTATATTTATTTGTATATAAATTCTCTCTTCCTTCTGGTAGACCTGCTGTTGTAGCCAAAATTTCTCTGATATTTGATAAATTGCGCCAATACGTAAGTGTCCAGATGAATGAGTGCTCAACAACCTTCACGTCCATAGACTTTTCCATTGCTCTCTTGCTTATATAAATCAACATAGACTGTATATTGTTGTTGTGACTCCGTGTTTGATCTAAGTTGAGGCGGTATTTGGAAACAAACAGCTGTTTGAGTTTGAAACAAAAAAAACTATTTTAAAACAATATTTCAATGCATCAGTAGAACAGATAGTTTCATACGATTAACCTTAATGATGCTCAACTCTATTTCAATTGTTTGAGTTATTTCCATGGGTTTCAAAATTGGGCAGCATTCGTCTAAAAACGAATTTGTTCGCTATGATTTATATTTTATGGTATAGATTTAAGCACACGGCTATATGAAGGTTTGATGCATCATTCCTTACTTCGAACAAATGTGTGCGTCCGTTCATGTGACACCTGTCAACTTTTTGAGATATCAGACCATCTGCTTTATTTGTTCAAAGTAGTTTTCGCACCTTGGGATTTCAAAATATAAGATAATATGGTGTATAAAGTGAGCATTGCCATTGTTCTGACAGTCATTGTTCTGTAATCTGCTACGTAGCACAACATATCAGCGTATATGTGATATTTGACAACAATTATATTTATCGGTAATCTGTTATACCTTAATATATATTGCGAGCACATACACACATCTACTAATGTTTTTACAATCCTGGTCGTTACGTAGCTAATAGAATATTTTTCGGTTAGAAAAATATTTCCTGTATGCCTTATCAAAATAGCGCACCAAGAAACCGGAAGCTTGAATATAATACAAGATCATATTTCCCCAAATATTGATAAATTAACGGCATTATTTCTTTTCCGTGTGGGATTTTACAGACAATGTGCAAGAAATGTGATTTCCTACAATTGATAACGTGTTATTTTCCTTCTGGGTCGCCAACGCAAGTCAACACCTTGCTGAAGTACACTAAAAGTGCTAACTAAATTTCATTATGGCCACCATTTAGGGTAACAGACCCAATAATCGCGGTAGACATACATACGGAGGAATGAGATATTTTCTGACAGTGAAAAGTTAACAGTGACATTTTACTTAATTTTGTATGTACAATGTGTACAATTACAGTATTGTGAATAAATAAACTACTGCTTATTGGAAAGATCGTCGGAAACATTTCTCGAATTTTATTTCTTGAGTGCGGGTGCGTTGTCTCTAATCGATATAATTTTTGAATGGAAAGAAATTGAATGTAAAACAATTCTCATAAACCGAGTTGTGTCTTAGAGAGCATAATACCAATAAATTTACCTTACAACATGTTTACGTCCACATTGATCAAATTTTTGAATATGCGGTTCTTCTAGCAAAATATAATGCTCTATGATCTCACATTACAAAACCTTTCGATATGTATAAAACTATCTTTTATAATGTATTATGCGTGGATTGCACATTTCATGGGTTTTCATTCATAATTATCGTTCGTCAAGCACGAGAAGGAAATTGCCTTTTTTTTATTTATCGATGTGTGGATGTTATTTATTTTTCCAAATATCGAAATAAATTAGCCTGCAGCATTTGATACCTCGTATTTTTACACGAGACGTCCAGGTGTAAAAATGAGTGGCTCAAGCATAGAGAACGACGCTGGAAACGATTTCTACGTACATGATCAAGAACATGATGGTTCATCTGATTACGACTATTACGACAATCGAGGTAAGTGCTGTAGCTATATTCCGTTAAAGTCAATAGGAATATTTCTATACCAAATTAAGAACTTCGTATGTCCACAGTTGTTTCGGTTTTGATCGATATCTAGCCTAAGGAATCGCAACCGCCCCTATTGTCGCATCTTCATATTCATTTTTGATGGGTCGCACGAAAAGTATCATTTTACCGATAAGAGCATACTTTCACATTTTAATGTGTACTTCAATATGAAAATATTATGCAAAATGTAACAGATTTTGGCAAGTGATCCTTCTCGCTTTACTTTACTCTTAATAAGAAGATAATACTGAACAATTATCTCAAGGATAATCACTTCTGAATTGTACTTTATACGGTATTTATAACATGATCTGAAGTGCTGTGCAGCAACTGTGTCAGATATAAAGTATCAGGCATGAAATATAGAATAGAAAAACATGCACCAATTTACTTTCTTACAATCGGAGCTTTTCATAGCATTTCAGAGAGAAACCTTCGAATACGATTCTGGATATGGACAAGCTATTACTATGGGAATCATATCCATAGTGGGACTTATATTCAATGCAATAGTAATTCTGGTGATTTGTGCTCTTCAAGATTACAAAAAGACGTCGCATTGGTAAGATAAAATATTATTTTTGCTCGTCCGTAATCCATACTTTTGGAGACGAAGGGTATATATTGCAAATTTGTTGTTGGTAGGCTTGCTCTAATGCTTGCGTTTGTTGTTGTTGTGTTCAAAATTTCGTCGCTCGCGTAGTATTCGTACCAAGATACCTTAACCTGGTCTACATACTGTGTTCAGGTTGTGCGCCATCTTGGTACGAATACTACGGGAGCACCAAAAGTTCAGTACTTTGATACGTCGCACGAAGGCCATTGATTTTATTTATTCTTACTCGATTTGTTTCTGAGGCATTCGAAGTAGGATAATCTCTTCAAATTTTGCTGTTACGATGTATTTCATAAGAACACTGTTCTGTCATTTGAGCCTCATGTCCCTGTATTTGGGCATTGTCCTCTATTTTAATTTATTAGAAACTTTATCTCTACGAATCGACATTAAATATCGTAACTATAAAAACATAACTCCTTAAATAAATAAAGATTTTCTACAAGCATTTCGGACTCTATATTGCATGAGATGAATAAGTTCAGAAGTTGAATAAAGTTAGTCTTTGTTAGTCGAAGATGAATGAATAGTTTAATATTGTTCAATGTTTATTACTTTGTGTGCATAGTCAAACGCGGTAATACATATTCATTCTGAAATAATTACTCAAAAGTATTCAAAAATTGAGAGACGTACCGTAAAATAAATGATAAAAGTCCAGAAAATCATATATAATATGTAGAAAACTCCAACGCGTAAATGGACAACAGAAAGAACTCAGCATTCATGTAATCTAACATAATAATAATTATATTCTTTTTATTTCAGGTATGTTTTGAATCTAGCCATTGCTGACAGTATGTTTCTGTTAATGCTACCGCTAGATATGGCGTCAGTCCTCACGAAAAAATGGAGCTTCGGTCTTCCTCTTTGCATCGCATATAATGTTGCTTTCTATGTCAACTATTACGCAGGAATTTTCTTTTTGATGGTAAATACATTGAAACTCAATTCCAAAACTGCAGTTTTCCAAATACTATTAATATCCCCAACATAATGCACCGAACATTTTTATAAAGGTAATGAGTATCGACAGATATGCTGCAATAATCCATCCCATGTCATGCAGATGGAGAAAACTGAGAAGCGGTAAAGTCTGTTGGTTTCTGACAATATCTGTAAGTATCGATATATATATTTTCTTTGACTTAAAAAAAAAAGAATTGTAATTTTTACTGGTATTCCCTTTGCATTTTCCGATTTGTAAAGCAAACTACTATGCGGCTATGTGGTGCATCGTGCTAAGCGTTAGGAATATGCTCGGCATCGCACCTCCGCGTGGGTCTACAGGATCCAATCCCATGCGGGGATAATCAGCCGTAGGTGAAAGCGATTGGTTACGCCTTCTTCCACCACCAAGTCCATGCATCTGAAAACAAATATGTAACTGATCCCATACCAACTAATCCCATACCCGACATAGACTGGTAACCGGACGGAAGGCAGTGGTTCGCTGATATGATTGAGCCATCTTAGCGGCTTTCTTTCCCCCCAGGATTAATATGTAAATCCTATCCCAGTAATTCAAAATTATCATTACCCAATCTATCTCTGGTAAAAATTTCATGCCGCTATACAAGTTTTAACTCGAGTGGTTCTATGCACAGGTTTGGGTTCTTTCTGTATTGGTTGCTTTGCCTATTTTGATACGATTGAAAATTGTAGAAGAATCTTGCGTTCCTGATTTTTATACCGGAACGAAGGAAGATAAATGCGTTGCAGTAAATTGGAAACTCGAACATTGTGATTCATTTCATGAGATAAAGGTACAAAATTTGTCGGTGGGTCCTTGTTATTATTTACAGAAAACAATTGAAATATTTAATATCAATTCTCCAAAAATAAGATGAAGAACTAGAGTGTTCTAGGCCAGTACAACATACATAATGCTACTGAATGTAATAAATTTACATACAATGCAAGTTGGTAAAAAATTTATGCTAATGTCATTATAAATTAGAATTTAGTTGGCTTTTGAGATATAATTAGAAAGTTCCAAATATATATATGCTTATATATTTTAAGAATGGCCCCCACCACTATTTGGACAAGATGCTCGATGAAATGACAAGGGTGCGTGAGTATTTCTTGATCAATAATACAACTGAATTTGAATAATTGGTTCCAACTTCATAACAGACGTTTGGAATAAGTACAATCATACAACACACTCTATTATCCAAAATAGCATTAACTATTTCGGAAGACGACAGACGAAAGTAAGCGGTACGATTTTAATTTCACGGGCGCGATAAAAATGCTATAGACGAGAATATCGGTTGGAAACCTAAGACTTATCGATCGATAGTTAGGGGATCCCCCAAAACAGAAACTGCAGTTTCGATTCATCCGCACTTGTAACTTGCGCACTGCGCATCGCACACACACACTCGGCGGGTCTCAAAATTCTCTCGCTTTACAAAAATCTAGATCACTATATCAATAATTGATTGATAGCTCGCTAATTATACGACATAATTCGCCCAAAATCAATAGGTTTCTGGTCCGAGATAAGATGAATGCACATGCAAAATTTGGAGCAGATTCAACCTCGCATTCGCGAGATATCGCGTTCATCTAACAGACACACACAGACACACAGACAGACATACATACAAATACCTATCAATATACTTACCGATCTTAAGATCGATAAGTAATAATATCAAAATGTGACCTTATTCACACGCAAGCCAAACGAATACGCTAAATAATCATGACCATATTTGGACCAGATTGCGTTAGCCATAGATGTAGCAGTGGAATCCCACGTCTATGGACTAATAATGCTCTTTCATCGTATGATTTTTAACGCTTGAAACTAGATAGCGATTGGAGACCGACTTATCGATCTTCCGCGTGTTTCCTTCGCTCAGACTCAATAGCGACACCGCGTGTCCCATCACTAATTAATTAATAACTCGCTAATTATACGACAAAATTAATAGGCTTCTGGTCCGAGATATGATGAATGCACATGCAAAATTTGGAGCAGATTCAAATTCGCTTTCGTGAGATAACGCGTAACATACGAAAGTGTCTAACAGACAAACGACAATATCGGTCGGAGACCGAAGACTTATCGATCGAAACTGCGAGATAAACTTGCTATAAAGGAATCCTGAAGGGCGCTGAGGAGTATAGCAGATCGAAAGTAGACAATACTCACAGCCAACCGCAACGGCATAATTATTTTTTAATACGTTCATAGCATAATATGTAAAATCTATATATATTTAGATCAAAGATGGAAATACTTGTTACCACGATGCCCCATATCCATACTTTACAAATTGGATCTACTGCAACGTTTTTCTGACATTTTTTGCTCCTATAGCCATAATGGTTGCCTGTTATGGCTGCATCCTATGGCGGGTACTACATCCTAGAATTTCATCAACAGATTTTGTAAGCACTAGAGTAAGTGCTAAATCTTTTCTTCGACGAAACAGCTCTTCCAAAATGAATAGCATAAAAAGAAGAACTAACATCAGGGTAACCGTTCTTGTGGTAAGTAAAGTTACATTTCCTAAATTTACGACACTTATAATAATGCCGGTCCGCTATTCGTACTTTGGTGTTTTACTACCCAAAATATTGACTCTTATTTAGCAAACTTTCGGTTATTTTCAATAGGCTACAAAAAAAGATCAATGATTAACTAGGGCGGGAAGTAGCTGCTTCTGGAAAAGAGAGTGGGTTATTCGTTCAGGCTTCTTTCTCCCTGGGATAATATCAAAATCTCAGTACAATTTAGCGTATTTTATTACTAAGCATCAATAAATTAATATCATTTGAAATATGGCGATTGTTGATATGCACCTCTTGAAATCAAACACTTAATTTATATTATATATATTTAAGGTATCCCTCGTTGCTACTTTTATCGCTTGTTGGGCTCCATTCAACGTCAATCTTGTAGCTAAAATAGGAGGAATGTCTTACATTACTAGACGTCAATGTGAAATCCTTGATGTCGTAGTGAATTTGATCGCTTATTCGAACAGTTTATGGAACCCTGTTCTTTATACATTTTTGGGTAATATGGAATTTTCTATATATATATATATATATACTGTATTTACTTCTGATATTGATAATGTTCAATTAAATTTTGCCAAATTAATTTTCTGTCAATTTAATTCTGCCAAAGGCATTAGTGATTAATATTAAAATTACTGTGTAGGGTATAATACTAGTAAACAGGTCTGTAGAGTAGGAAGTTAGAGTCTTTGCTAATATATCGGCGTGAATGCGAGCCTTTTTACAACGGGGTGTGAGTAAAGCCCTAAAACATTTGAAATTATATTCGCAGTTTTCGATGAGCCGTATAAAAGTCGAAACCCTCGAGTCATAGTATAGAGTTTTTGAATCCGAAGTCGGTGTCAAAAATTTTATCAACGGGGATTCAGAATTGGAATTTTTAATGTACTTGAAACCGACAATATAGATCACAACGCTTCCGTCGGGGCTGTTCTAGGATCATTTTAGTCAGTGATGTGTTTTTCCATATTATTGACTACACCAGGAGTTTCAAGTCAATCGCATTAGATTACTGGCTGACAAAAGTAGAACAAAGTCATCAACAGATTAGTCCGTCCTAACAATGCCACACCGCAATATTACCAATTTTAATGTTATGATGGTTTCTGTTACAGGCGCGAATTTTCACAAACGTGTGGGTCGCGTGTGGAAGAGCATTCAAGCCAGAAATGCGGCAACTAAAGAAATTTTTGCATCGTTCAAAAAGACAAAGAGAGGAAACTACACAGGCTCTCGTTGTTCAGCGGCATCCAAAATAACAAAGGTATTATTTAACATCTATTTGTTAGGATGTTATTCTAATCACCACCGCTTCCTGCAACTGCTAAATTGTGTTTTCCAAAATAAGAATATTCAACCAATTCCTGATACGGACGCGTGATGTGAATCTGACAATGTCAATTATTAAAATTTGCGAATTGAATCAATTTTGACATGTTATAATTTCTCAACAAACTATGACATTAATGTGATACTTATCTGCAAAATATTGAAATAGTTCAAAATTAGGTATTTGTTGTCATAAAGACTAGAAGTGCAAATGTCGGACATTAAACTTTCCAACTGTTCGCCAGTGTCGTAGTTATTTATTTTAAATATTCTTACATAGTAATTTGAATAATATATAACGTTCATGAAAATAGTCGGAGGTGAAAATGTTGCGCCAGGAACTTTTGACGGGCAGTGATATGAAAATATCATCAATCTAGTGGTCACACTTGGTAATAAATAGAAACTAAATTTCGACTATATTTTTTTTTTGTGGTGGTTATTTTTGGTTAAATCAGTTTGCATACAGCATATATAATGAAGTTATCACCGCGCAAGTTACCGCCTGAAAAGATTGTATAATTTCAAAGTCAGTTCAAAGTTTGATCAAGCCTAGGCTTCAAATTTAGGGTTCGCAACTAAGTGGGATCTAAATTCTGCATAATCTATGAAAAAAATAACACCTTTACTATTTTCAGACGACGGACTCGGTGGTGTCAGGAGCAACATCAAATATCAACGTCCACGTCTTATCAGCACCTTGCAAAGATGACAATAGGTACAGCACGACGGGATTGAAGACATGAAAAAGCACTTAAATCCTAATAGCATAATTACCTATTATCTTTGTTTAGTTCGAGACTGTAGATTAACTATGGCGCGACAACGTCATGCCTGTACCGAATTGTACTATGCGTAACTCAAACATTACTGCAGAAAATTATGGTTATAAATAACAACATATTATCAACTCAAGAAAACTGATGGAATGTTTTTGATAAAACCTAGACTATGCGTTGCAAGGAACATAGAAATGAAATTTCATGGCAACAAAACTATTTGCAATTACGCAGAAAATATCTTGATTTTTTTTACTTTGAATGAAGCAAAAACTTTATGGTTTTCATTTGAGTAGAATAGAGAGAAAGTTGGGCGCTCGAGTAGTATGTGCACCAAGATGTCGCACAACCTGAATCCGTACGGTACACCCATACTATGTTCAGGTTGTGCGCCATCTTGGTGCACATACTTCTGGAACTCCGAAAGTCGAATGTATTTTTTTTTTTTTTGCAATAAATAAAAGGCACAGTATGGAGGTATGTATTGTTTGAATCGCATTCGACGTATAAATAAAGACACACTAACACAAATGTATTTCCGTAACGTTTCGTCCGACCAGAGTCAGACTTCCTCAGACAAGCAGTTTACAACAATGGCAAGAAATAAATTTGGTAAATGAATTTGAAATATCAAATCAAGTATGACGTAACAATGCATAAACATTTAATTTGCATTTAGCCATAGAAGTAATGATGGGAAGATTAGAACCACAAATATCAGTGGAGCTCATTTCAGATGTAATTGAAAAAAAAAAAGTTTCATTATTGCATTCACGAAAATGATGGGTAACTAAATGTAATTGAAATTATGGGCACTTAGAGAACCACGAGGAAGTAAACCAACATTTAAACATAAATCAAGGCTTAGTCTGGTGAGGACCAATTTCAAAATTAAAAAAGGTTAAAAGTTATTGCTGAATTTTGATCTTAAATAGCGTTAAAATGTAATAATAATTCATAATAATGAATGAATGAATTAACCATCTAGCATATTTCGAGTAGGACAAAAAAAATTAAAAATTAAAAAACTATCGCAAGCTCATAACTCCAAGGTTTTGAATTATAATTGAAATTAAACTTGGGACACTTGAAAACAATAGTAAGATAAAAGGCCAATCAAGGGGCGAGTAATAATATAAACTTAAGAAAAAGAGTGATTGTTAAATTTAAATATTATATGACGTTGAAATGAAAATTATTATTAAATAATAATTCTTAGATGAGTCTACAGTCTATTTCTCCCGTGAATTGAGTCCTTGTGGTTCCAATGTTCCGAATTTGTTGATGCTGTATGCTTCTACTGTTTGGCGATAGCCCTGGTCTCTGAATAGTTTTTTTTATTTCAGTTACTGAAAAGTCACTTATTGAATGTCCCAGTTTGTTGAAGTGTTCTCCCACTACTAAATCATATTTCCTTTTCGTAATACTTCTCAGATGTTCTGTTATACGATATTTTAACGACCTTCCGGTCTCGCCGATATACTGCATCCCACATTTCTTACAGTTTATTAGATAAATAACATTTTTTGATTTACAACCTATTCTTTCGTTAATGTTTATATGAACTCCCGTCACGTTCCCGGTACTTATTTTTGTTTCTTCGGAATATTTACAGGTGGTGCATGCTTTTCTATTACATTTATAAAAACCAGATTGTACTTTCTGTGATATTACTGGTTGTAGTTTAGCTCTAACCAGTCTATCGCGTAATGTAGGGCACTTTCTATATGCAATTTTCGGAGGTTGAAGGAAAATCTCTTTTAGTCGTGCATTGTTGTCAAGAATATATTGGTAGTCCGAAAATATTTTTCTAAAGTGCGGTTAGTTTGGGTGGTAGTTGGTAATAAATGGCAATAGTTGCTGACCTTGTTTTGTACTTTTCGGTGTTAAAAGGTAATCTCTGTTCATTTCTTTTACCAATTTCATTGTTTTGTCAATAGAAGTCTTTTCGTAATTTCGTTGCATGAGATAGCGTTTCATAATTCCTGCATGCTTGTCAAAAAATTCGACATCTGAGCACATTTGGTCCGACATTTGGTCGGACGAAACGTTACGGAAATACATTTGTGTTAGTGTGCAGCTGGACTAATTTAATTGAATAGAATAGTCATATTTATTCCAGCTACAGTATCCTTGCAGTATACGGATCCACTAGCATAAAGGCCTAGAGAAAAGATAGGAAGTTAGTCTCACGCAACCCAACTCAAATTTATGTTATTGTATTCGTGGGACTTCTGTATCCATAATGGATCCTTCTAACTCTGGACTCGACAACGATTGCAAGAAAGAAATATACAAATACCACAAGAAAGCATTCAACAACTTGAGAAAAATTACACTGAAAGAAGCCCGACTCCATCACCACAAGCTAAACCTAGAGCAATTTGTTGTAACTGGAAAATGTCCGAAAGGACTCGAATTCACTCCGAAAACTTGTGCCACCCCGCTGAAAAACTTGACCAAATGGCAAAATTTACATAAAGAATTTTCAAAACAATTGACGAAGCAAGCTCTTAAGGAATGTTGTTCAAGTTTAAATGAGATAACTAATACCAGGTTAGAAATAGAAAATAAACTAAGAACAAAAATGAAAGCAGATATCTGGAATGCCATCCGACTTATGATAGATATTTCTAGAACAAATCTAACGGCCAAACTTAAAAGAACAAGGATGAGAAAAATGAGGAATACAGTCATAACAAACGGAAACCCAACTAAATCAAATGAAATAAATATAAACACAGTGGAATCAACTCGGCCAAACTTGACTAGAACCAAACGAAAGAGGAATAGACGTTTCAATAGAAAGAGGAAAAGACGAAACAAAGGAGAGATCGCGACAGTGACCTCAACTTTGTACAATCTGTTCAATGTCCATCTAAGTGAGTCACAACGAAAAGTCTTAAAAAAGGCCTTGACTTTAGTCCTACTCCTGACAGATTCGATAACTTTCAACTGCAAAGAGACATTAATAAAACAATTCGCAACTACCGCTTGAGAGAATACTTTTTTGATCCATTCTCCAGTCAAACCATCAGCGAAGTAGCTGAAACATATCCGAAATCCTTACGTGTTCCAAGTAGATGGACACCGCCTACTGGGAAAAATTCTGACTTAGATCACTTCGCTAACACTAACACGGGAAATCCAGAAAACGACATCAAAGAAACGTACATTTTCCAATCTCAAAAAAGACGAAGTCGAGGCCTTGAGGGAACTGGAACAAAGAGCAGCAAGGGATATCATCATAGTACCTGCGGACAAAGGCGGGGGAACTGGCATACTCTCCCGAACTGACTACATCACAGAAGGTATGCGGCATCTATCGGATAACTTGGTATACAAGTGCATTCCAAAAGACATATCTATACAAATTGGCAACAAAGTAACCAAATATGTCATAATATGAGGTAAGCCGACATTATTGATGACATACTATTTAAAGGGATAACTCCAAAAAGACCTAAACCAGGTCGTTTACGTTTACATCCAAAAGTGCATAAGAAAAATCACCCCAGTCGGCCAATCATATCAACAAACGGAACTACAACGGAAAAATTATCAGCTTTCATAGATTACAAATTAACTAACCTCATGTGCAAAGAGGTAATACCATCATATGTCAGAGACAGTATGGATTTTCTGAATATTCTGAAAAAAATTGACAACATTCCGCCAGGATCTTATTTAGTAACCATGGACATGACTTCCTTGTATACAAATATTCCACATAAAGATGGCATCTTAGCGGTGGAGAAGTATCTCAGGAAATATACCACAGAAAAACGGGAAATTCCATATATTAAAGAAGCAGTTAATATGGTTCTTGATAATAATAATTTTGTATTTGACGGAAAGCATTATCTCCAAATCAATGGGACAGCGATGGGAACTAAGATGGCTCCCAAATATGCAAACATATTTATGGCAGACTTAGAGTCTGAGATTCTAGAAACAGCCAAGATTAGGCCACAATACTACTATAGATACATCGATGACTGTTTTCTGATCTGGACACACGGCGAAACCGAGCTTATATCTTTTATAAACCACGCGAATTCAATACACCCTTCTATCAAGTTCACATTCGAATACTCAACGGAAAACATTACATTTTTAGACGTAAAGTCCATATCATGGACAACAAATTGGAAACGGAAATTTACACTAAAGACACGGACTCTCACCAATATCTTTTACCCTCCTCATGCCACCCCAAACATATTACTGCAAACATTCCAAAGGGACTCTTCATAAGAATAAGAAGATCGTGCTCAAATGTCGAATTTTTTGACAAGCATGCAGGAATTATGAAACGCTATCTCATGCAACGAAATTACGAAGAAACTTCTATTGACAAAACAATAAAATTGGTAAAAGAAATGAACAGAAATTACCTTTTAACACCGAAAAGTACAAAACAAGGTCAGCAACTATTGCCATTTATTACCAACTACCACCCAAACCAACCGCACTTTAGAAAAATATTTTCGGACTACCAATATATTCTTGACAACAATGCACGACTAAAAGAGATTTTCCCTCAACCTCCGAAAATTGCATATAGAAAGTGCCCTACATTACGCGATAGACTGGTTAGAGCTATACTACAACCAGTAATATCACAGAAAGTACAATCTGGTTTTTATAAATGTAATAGAAAAGCATGCACCACCTGTAAATATTCCGAAGAAACAAAAATAAGTACCGGGAACGTGACGGGAGTCCATATAAACATTAACGAAAGAATAAGTTGTAAATCAAAAAATGTTATTTATCTAATAAACTGTAAGAAATGTGGGATGCAGTATATCGGCGAGACCGGAAGGTCGTTAAAATATCGTATAACAGAACATCTGAGAAGTATTACGAAAAGGAAATATGATTTAGTAGTGGGAGAACACTTCAACAAACTGGGACATTCAATAAGTGACTTTTCAGTAACTGAAATAAAAAAACTATTCAGAGACCAGGGCTATCGCCAAACAGTAGAAGCATACTACATCAACAAATTCGGAACATTGGAACCACAAGGACTCAATTCACGGGAGAAATAGACTGTAGACTCATCTAAGAATTATTATTTAATAATAATTTTCATTTCAACGTCATATAATATTTAAATTTAACAATCACTCTTTTTCTTAAGTTTATATTATTACTCGCCCCCTGATTGCGTTTTATCTTACTATTGTTTTCAAGTGTCCCAAGTTTAATTTTAATTATAATTCAAAACCTTGGAGTTATGTGCTTGCGATAGTTTTTTAATTTTTCATTTTTTTTTGTCCTACTCAAAATATGCTAGATGGTTAATTCATTCATTTATTATTATGAATTATTATTATATTTTAACGCTATTTAAGATCAAAATTCAGCAATAACTTTTAACCTTTTTTAATTTTGAAATTGGTCCTCACCAGACTAAGCCTTGATTTATGTTATAATGTTGGTTTACTTCCTCGTGGTTC